AACTGCTGTCTCATACCACCACCATCATTAATATTATAAACAAAGGGGTAGAAGGAGGTCCACGGTATCTAAGGCTTACTTACACCATCTATATCGACCCTACGTCCCCCCTCTACCTCCTACCTCCTCCTGTCACCAACATAACCAACCACCACCACCAACCACCACTTCTAAAACACTCCCTCACTATCACCACCACTAACACTCCCTCACCACTAACACTCCCTCACCACCACTAACACTCCCTCACCACCAACACTACCCTGGTCATGTTTCACCAAGAGACCCCTGAACCCACGTACCCTGTCAGCACGAGAGAAGCTTCAACAAACTACACTTCTCAATCTCTCTTACTGACAACGTACAGGAGATTGAAAAATAAAACTGAAGGAGAAAAAAGAAGAGAAGAAGATAGGAGGGGAGAGATAGAAGAGTAAGAGAAATAGAGAGAGTGTGAGAGAGAAGAAAGAGAGGAATGGAGGAAGACCAGTCACTGTTACCAGGTTTTTTTTTTTAGTCATCTGTTGTGTGAGGTGGATCTAGGGAGAGAGATACCGCAAAGAAAGTGTGGTGAAAATAACTAAGACAACAGTAAGAAATATACACACACATATATATATATATATACTTAATTATATCGTCAGCTTACATACATGTTATACAAAGTGAATTATAACATTTGTATTAATTCACGAGGCTCTACATTATTAACTTGTTGTGTGTACTGATTTTAAGCTTTTACTCTCGTATATTTGTAAATAATTTAGCATCTACTTACACCTGCCCCAAGCCGACACCTGCCTCAAGCCGACACCTGCCTCAAGCCGACACCTGCCTCATACTAACACCTGTCACCTTCACTTTATCTAACAATTAGACTGGTCTAATTTTAATTCTGTGTGGGAGGCAGTATGAGCTCTGGTGTAGGTCCTGCAGCAAGACATGGTGAGGAGGGGGAGGGCGCTGAGCCACAGGTGTACTTCACGTCTCCTGAGAGCACCTTCTAACATTTCTTCCTTCACGTGCTTGGGTCCTGAGGGGACTCAAGGAAAGTGGAAAGCAAATTGTAACTCTTTTCGTAGTGCTTCACAAAATTTGTTCCTGATGACTGTGGTAGACATCAATTTAATACATTACCTTTAACTTAACTTAACTTAACTTAACTTAACTTATCTACTATTGAGCTGATAGACTTGCATTTCACTTAATATTGGCTTTTTTTCTTATCAAAGGACACCACAGAGCATTTTGGATTCCTCTCTGAATGAAATGGTGAATTTATCCTGAAAATTGTGACGAAAACAAGTGACTTGAGTTAGCAGACAATCTCCCTGTATTTGTCCATCTCCGTATACATATTTCCCTGAGGTAAACACACACACACACACACACACACACACACGTCCCTCCAGTTTACGTATCATTAATATTCTTCTGGGCCACCGAGAATCATTCATTTAGTTGAAGCTGCAAGAATATCTGACGGATGCATTCAGTTAAAACCACGATATGTTCTTCCCCAACCAGAATGTGTTCAGCTATTGTGTGGGAGAGAGGAAACACCGACAAGTGTGTGTGGGGTGAGGGGCCGTGTCTAGTCTTCTACAACAACCACCAATTTCCACCTCAGGTTTACCCGATATCTTGTGAGTCCAGACCATTCACTACCATTCACACTCGCTGTTATATAGGATGTTATTGGTGGTGTCTTTTCTTATGTATCATATGACTGTTCCATTGAATTAGATTGTATGAAATTAAATCCCTTTACTGTATTTAAACTAAGGGAAATGCACACGTTTGTTTTACTAGTGTGTTTGAATATTGTACGAGTCTTAACCTTCTCCTCTTACTTTTAACGTATTGTTTTGCACCTCTCACTGTTGTTCCCTCCTTTTATGAGCTCTATACACGTTCCTTCACTTAACAAACGCTGCAATAGGAGTAAAAATAACCAATTAAAAAAAATTAGGCTAACAATATTCACTTCAAAATACTGCTATTCTAAAATGTTATACTTATTAAATAAAAAAATCGGTCCCCCAAAAGCACTGTATACTCCGCTTGTTGTTCATAACCACAAAGATATACATAAAAACAAAATAATATCAACAGAAATATTTTATTTATTGATTTCGAAACTCCAAGTGACACAGTTGTAAATCTCCTCGCGGTCGCTGTCATGATTACGAAGCTGCAATGTTAGTGTGGGATAAACCTGTGTGTGGGACGAATACAAGGGGGGAAACTCAATGCTGACAGAAACAAGGGGGCGCTCACACACACAAGGGACCACCATCACACATCAGTCATGGTAACTTCCTCACTTAACGTGATCTAATCTTACACGTAACCTTTCCGTCAGTTGAGAATTGGCCAAATATGAATTCTCACCACTGATAAAATCCTGCATCAAAACCCCTGTACACAGGAAGGAATCCAGGGGGTTTGCGGGTCCGGGCCCCCTTTTCATCAGAAAACTTCGATACTTTTTCTTTAATGCAGTAATGTACTCAGGCGTTTTTGTATAGTAAAATTTATTTTTATTCTTACGGGGAATAGCCCACCCAGGCACGGGTCATCGACCCACAACGGGGTCTGGGGGGCGAAAAAATAAGAGTAAAAAGAAATTAAAAATAGAAGAGAAAAAGACTGTTAATCTACACCACGAAGATACCAGAAAACCGGCTTTTTAAGGTGAGACAGATTGTGAGAGTATGGAAACACAGAAGAAGGCAGAGCATTCCACAGTTTGGCTGTGTGAGGAAAGATGATGTACAATAACTATTCTAGTGTGACTGACATCCACACAGAAACGGTGGGCACCGCGGGCAAGACGTGTGTTACGAGTCCACGGCCTTGCCGGCGGTACACAGGATGCCAAATCCACCGAACATTGCCCGTTAAAGTACCTGTAAAAGAGAGAGAGTGAAGCAACATTGTGGCGAAGAGAAAGGGAAGAGAGACTATCAACTAAAGGAGAAGAGTTAATAAGACGAAATGCCATTGATTCCACCCTATCTAAAAGTTGGACAGAAGAAGAGCCACCCCAGATATGAGAGCAGTACTCCAAGTTAGGACGAATGAATCCCTTATAAACTTGAAGCAACTGCTCAGGAGTGAAGTGACTACGGCATCTTTACAGTATTCCCAACTTTCTGGAGGCAGCTTTAGCAATGTTGTGGATGTGTGGCTTCCTTGACATACTAGAGGAAATGGTGAGGTCTAGCATATCTATTTAGAATTTGGCCGAAAGATTCCGTCCTGAAATGAGATTGGTGGTAGATCTTCTATTTTGGAAAGTGTAAATGGTAAATTCTTAAATACAATGTTCTATTACAATTGAATTTAAGCAAGTTTCTACCTCCCCATTCAGAGATGCTGCACAGATCCGCATTGATAGATGAAATATCAGCTCTAGAAACGGGCCCAGATCTGGTTTGAGAATTAGGGGAGAGGGAAAAATGTGAAGAAGAGTGATGAGTAGAATCATCAGAGTAAGAGTGGATAGAATTGGTCGTAGTGTGAAGTAAATCATTGATAAAAAGAAGGAAGAGAGTAATCGAAAGAACAGAACCCTGTGGAATACCAGTATTGGTAGAGAAAGAGCGAGAGATCGATCCCCCAACAACAACTGCCACGGATCGGTTCTCAAGGAAGCTAGAAATTAAAAGACCAAAGTGGGGGAGAGAAACCATAAGAGGTAAATTTAGAAAGCAAGGACCTGTGCCATACCCTGTCAAATGCTTTGGAGATGTCGAGGGCCACGACGAAAGTTTCCCCATAATCCCTCCGAGAGGATGACCTAAGATGGGTGCAGTAGGAGAGCAGATCACCAGCAGATTTAAAAAATGGACTCGCTACGCACTCCATGTTCCCCCCACTTACAACTTATTTGACCCCCCTTTTTGATATTCTTGGATCCGCCCCCGAATTACATGGGCGTAGCTGGGAGGTGGGCAAGAGGGGGCAGTTCCCTCCCCCCCTGGATCAGGCTAATGTTAAAATGTATAAACAACAAATACCCAACAAAAGAAAAGGATTTAGAATCTAACTTAAACGAAGGGAAGAAAAAAAGGAAAACATTAAAATATTAACTCACCTAGCCCAACTGTAGGGGCTTACCTATCATCTTACCCCCTACCCCCTCCCCCCTGAAAAGTTCCAACGGACCCTTTGCCCTTGCACTTCACATACTGACTTGGTTAGGTTTCTGAACCTATCCAAAATCACTGCCCTGCTTATTATTAGTGGGGATCCACCTCCTGAAACTCTTGGTATTTCTCTTTAATTAACTTTGGCAAGTGTCGCTTGATTCACGGAGCGAGGTTGGTGTACGGGAGGTCAGTGGCCTACTAACTGAGCCAGCCAGGTGCGTGTTGAAACTTGGAGGCACTGTCTCGGGAAGGGAGCCAGCAAGCCGCACGCTATTAAAAATCCGAAGCTGCAGCATAAGCTTTTTTCTTTGTTACTCAATACTCAAAACAAAATTGACCCAAGGGCACGACCATGGTTGATGACGTATAGTTGCACAAAGATTTGACCAAGGAATATCACAAAGAACTATTAGTCTTAAGAGAGGTCAATCCCAAGGTAATAGGCAGCTACCAAACAGGGAGGTACTACCGTCTGGGAAGACATTGGAAGCATAATGTGTTGTCTAATGGTAGACCCTGCTGCCATATGGCACCACGAAAATTGTGACCAAGTCCCAGGTTGCTGATCTAACTTTCTGCCTCATTTACACACAGTTGTAGGGTCTCAATTGTTTCTCTTACTATTGACAACACAACATACATATATTGTTTCTCACTCTTGATCTTTTTTCAATTTTTGCATTTCTTTATTATTATTATTATTATTATTATTATTATTATTATTATTATTATTATTATTATTATTATTTCGCCCCCCAGGCCCCGATCTGGGTCAGTGACCTGTGCCCGGGTGGGCTAATCCCGTAAAATAATAATAATAATTAGTTGGGTGCTTGTCGTCGAGATGGCGCTGGTGTGTCGGTTGTTGTTGTTGGTGGCACTCAGGTCTCACTGTGGGGTCCGGGGGTGTTGTGTGTTGTGACCACCAGCTGCTGGCACCGAGGCAGAGCAGTGCTGCTGTATAGGTATAGTGCTGTAAATTAACCTGAGCTTAAATTGGTATTCCCTTTTGGACGTTGTGGATGGTGTAGAATATGAGTGGGCCAGTTGTACTGTTCTTGTTATGAAATATGTATGGATGTTGATGCATTGAGACAGACTGCCTTGTTTACAGACCAGGAAAAACATGTATGTACTCTCACAAATGTTAAGGTGTTTGCCCCACTATGTAATTGAAAGGGTTAATATATAGGACTAACCCGCCGATGCGGCCGTATCATCTCGGATGCAGAAAATGCCTCAAATTCCACCATATCATAGTAAGTTCTTTCTGCTTAGTATACCGGGGAAGTTAAGTAAGGTTAGGTAGGTTTGTTGGTTGGTTAGGTCTGTTCTTCATTACTACAGTTGTTAAGTAGCTTTTATTTTAAAAATATCAACTTTTTAACTTATTTCCACAAACTACTAAAGTTTCCACTATAATATAACAATGGAAATCCGGCGATTATTCTAATTGTTCTCAATCAAATTAGCTTACGGGTTAGTCCTATATAATTACCATTGAAATAGTGTAATGAAATGCTGTGCAGTATTATTGGTCGTGTTTGTATGAGATAAAGTAATGTGCCCGTACTGTACTGTAGTACTCTATATCATCCCAGTTCAACTGGAATTAGGAACTTTACTAAATATAGATGCCGCAGTGTATGGACTTAAGTGCCTAAAATGAAAGAAATACCGCCTAATATTAATGACTACACCGCTGACTCCTCATTTGTTATTTTCATCAGTGAGTTCTGATATGATAACCTTTTGGGGGGGTTAGTTTAGGTTAAGTTAGGTTAAGTTGAACTTTTAAATAAGGCAGTGGATATTTTGCAGTGACCAGCTAAGTTCATACTAATGCTAGTTTACCGTGAGTGCTATCTGATTGGCTAATCTTCCATTTCCAGCAAATAACACGAGAACTGGAAATAACCGTGACAAGCGGCATTTGGCATTTATTTCGCCATGAGTCAATTGTTGTGTAGCTATAAACGTACCTAACCATATTTCTGTTGTGCATGGGAACTTATCATAAAAAGCGACATTTACTAGAACCTAGTAGAACCTGACCTAACCAACCAAAGAAACTGCCCTTACCTTGTCTAACTTCCTAGCCAGGGGGCGGACCTCCCCGTCGTATTAAACAGAAAGTACTTAGCCAGTCAGAGCACACTCACGGTAATATAGCATTAGTAAGAACTTAGCTGGTCATGGCAAAATATGCTATGCATTTAAATGAACACTTATTAATGCATTTGACAGTACTACGACAGTGTCTACTATAAAACACAGTGAAAGTGCGTCTTTTTAAATTTGTTTTCAATGAAAAATCAGCGGTGGTGTAGTTGTCGATAATTACCAAAATACTAAACTGTATTAATCATGGGTGGTGAAGCTAATAAACGTGGAGCAGACGGTTAGCATCCCAGTGTGTTTAAATATTTTCTACAGTTGTTTGGGTGATACTGAGTAATAAAAACAAAATGATAACTTTGTAATATTTTTTTTCTTTTTAGTCTGTCCTTCGATCATAAATTACTTGGTAGTGGGCAGGGCATAAAAGGAGATGGAAATAACAAGGTACAGGTAAAAACACTGTGAACACTGATCATATAGCAGTAATTTCACATCTCTACAAGCTTTGTAGATGGAGAAATAAATATTTACCGTAATTATGACGCTGTCTGATCTCCCGTAGCGACCATGTTTTGGTTCACATTGTCTGCTGTACGGGAGCGTCCTGGTTCTTTTTTTACATATCAAGAAACAAACAAAGATCTCATCAGTCTTGTTTATTATGGTTTAGATTAGATTTAATTCGTTCATTTTTTGTAGAGATGTTGTTTGGACGATAGTAAGTTAGAAAATCAAAATGACATTGCACAGGTTAGGAAGTTAGGTAAGGTTGGTTAGGCTCTAATTGGCTCTGTACATTGTCGCTTTAATTTTATTACTCAGTATCATCCAAACAACATCTGAAAACTGGTGCAATTCCATAAAGTCTTTCGGTGCTAACCATCTCCACCATTACCGTGAAGGTTGGGGGGAGGGAGGTTAAGGAAAGGGTTACTATTTTATTTCTTAATACAGATTGTCCTTGAGTTACCAATGGGTTACTTTCCTGGACCCTTTTTGTAAGTTAAGACAGTGTTAATTCCATAGGTTAGGTGGTCAATTTATGACCCCCACCATGTATAAGTTGTTTGTGAGAGAAACGTCATCATAGAAAAGTGTCTTAGAATTGGCTGAACGATTGATTGCAAAGATAACTTTCCTGAGGTTCTAATTATGTCCTCTACTGTAAATTGACCAGTCAGGTTAGAACACAACCCTGCTCATACAAAACAAAAATATTCCATACATGACAAATAATGTAAATAAAGGTACAGTACAGGACTGCTTCTTGTCAGTCGTGGGAAGGACAAGTTAGATAATATTGATCAACATTTTTATATTTATTTATATTCTTATTTTTTTTCAGAGAAATGTTATCCTTATACAAACGAAATTGCTCACTTATGCTAGAAAGATGTTGCATGGAGTTTTTACCAGTGTGTGGATGTTCATCTGTGTCTGGGAGCAGCACTGAGCCGAGTGAGAGGCCTAATATGCTTCCCAAGCAGGGAAAACAAAAGGTGAGTTAAATTGTCTTAGTACTGTAATTATAATGTTATTTGCAGACTTGACAGCATCATTAGTGAATTTTGAGTGGGCCTAGATTCTGGATTTTTAAAATTCTAAAATTTAAATGCTTGCTTAAACTAGATTTCAAAATTACTTTAATTACGGTACTTAAATCAAACTATATTTGTTAAATTTATTACCATTATTATTATAATTATTTATTGAAACAGGAGTGGATTATCCAACCTCAGGCAATTACTACAATCAGCCATTCAGCATTTATAGAACACTGAAACATATTTTAATTCTTGATTTTTTTTAGGAGTGTTTCTAATATTGTTTTTATAAATGTTTTTAACAAATGATTTAAATAAATTTTTTTTAATGTTGAAATTACCAGGATTGAAATTGACCGGAAGTCAAATTACCTGGAACCGTATATTTTAGTTTGTTTAACAATTACCATACAGTAGTTAGATAGGTTTATTGTTGTTTCTGAACCAATTTCATGTTTTTAGGTATATAATATTGGAGTTTTCTTATTATTGGGGAACCGAAATCTTATTTTTTTCCATTTTTGTTATTTGTTATCCAAAAATTTTATATCTTAATGGTTTTCAAGGAACCTAACCCAACTGAATGACGAGGGATACCTGTATGATGTTTTGTTGCTTGTAAGATTTACACTTTGGATCTCATGCCCAGTTTGTTTTACAGAGAAGGGAGGTGGATCATAAGGAAGCACTTATTGATCCACAAGAAGTAAAGTGTGATTGCATTGGCCCAGCAGACCGTCATTCTAACTTAAGGATCACCCAGTTTTATATCCCGCCCAGTGAGACTCCCCTGCAGCGACAGTACCGAGAGGCACGGACTGAAACACAAGGATGGAACCAGAGTTTTTGGAGCGATCACAATGCAAATTTTAAGAGGGTAATTTATGTTGATTTTACCTGTGAAGGTCTAGTGCTGTTAATTAATGGTTATATGGATTTAGTAACCTAATTTACCTTTTATTGGGTTTAATTCAGCCCAAGGGTAGTTTGGTTAGATGAAGAGTCTGTATTGGACCACTATTGTATTCCTTTAAATCAAATATAATAATATTTTACTATGAAAACAGATATTTGCTCGATGTGTTAAGACTGCAGCTCATCACTTCCACCTGGTACAGTGGCTGACTCATTTTGTGTTGGTTTACACCTTGATAGAACTACAGTAGCTGAATGGGCTGAAACAACCTTGCAATAATAGCCAACTAAGGAGGCTAAATAAGCAATCCTTTGTTGTGTTTGTTTCATAAACGATATGCCAGAAGCTTTGCTCTCCTCCATTCATGTGTTTATGGACGATGCCAAGTTATTCAGGCAAATTAAGAACCAAACGGATTGTGAAGTGCTGCAGAAAGATCTCTCTGCTTCAAGAGTGGTCAAAGGAATGGCCGTTAAAAATTAATGTCACAAAATGCAAAAAAGATGCACCTAGGTCATACCAACATTAAGGAGGCATATCACATATCCTAATGGGATGAAGAAACAGCATTAACTAAGACTAATTGTGAAAAGGACCCGGTTGTGTATGTGACAACAAACTTAAGCTCTTGGACCGCTTCTTGTCCAATCAGTGAAGTTAAGGAACGTTGGGTCTGGTGAATACTGTACAGTATTTGGATGGGTGACCGCATGGACCTAAGAACACTAGATTTTGCTAGCATTAGTACGTACATACTCTACTGGAAACAAGCCTTTCGTGGCTTTGTCTGTTGTCCTTGGTTAAATTGACTGAATAACAGTAACCTGTATTATCAGTTATTATTATTTAAGGTGATTCAAACAATTTATCCAATCTCGCACGCCACAAGTTTTTAAGTTTCCATGACCATGACAAAAGTCGTGTGGGACCAGTCACATGAGATCTGATTATCATCGTTGTTCAGCCAATTTATCCTACAATATATATATATATATATATACAGTGGTCCCTCGGTTAACGAGCACAATCCGTTCCAGCAGGTTGCTCGTTAACCGAAAAACTCGTTAACCGAAACCATTGTTTCAATGGGTTTTTGGGTAATTGGTTCCAGCTCACCGAAAATTGCCTAAATTCAACAAAAAAGGTAGAAAAGTGGGTAATAATAAGATATGATGTACATGTGTCATATAAGTCAGGTATAGTAAAGTAGGTAGAGTACTGTACACTGAGAGGAAGCACCCACGGGAAGGAAGTGTCTGTGTTAAGATAATCAGATTCTTGGCATTAGTTTTGAATATTGATAATTTTTTGTAATGTCTATTGTTCATAATCAAAGGAGGTCTCTAATTTACTCTCAGACCCTCACGAATATTAGAGAATTTTAAATGTTTTACTACAGGAGTATGTGGGAAAATGCTAAACCTTTTTCTTCAGATGGGAGTATATGATCTGTTCTACATGAGCATGTGTATGCAGTAATTACTCAACAGATACAGTAATTAATTTTTTCATTGGCTGTACAAACTTATAAAACACTTACAATTTATTTTTCAGATGAAGGAAGAGTTCATTCAGGTGCGTTTAAAGGAAAAATATGGAGATAACATTAAGGAACGCAAGACTCTGTCAGCAGATGACATGTCAGAATTCTATAAGAGATTTCTAGATGATAATAAAGATTTACACAAACAGTATAACCGAGAGTGGTACAAGAAGAATGCTAATAACGTTCTCCTTGCAGCGAGAGTTTGGTTTCAACAAAGAGTGAACACGAGAAGGTGAACACGGTATGAAGAAGATTTGTTGTGTAAAATAGGATATGTACCATGAACAGAGTTTAGTGACATAATTAATATGAAAATTCCACATCGTTTTTCACAGTTGTTACCGAGATGAAAAGATGAACAATGACTAAATTTACTGAAGTAACTGAACACTTGCACTGGTAATTTTTGTCTTTATTAATCATGACCTTATGTAATATCTATATGCACTTGTAGTCCAAGTTATTAACAAGTCAAAATAGGTTGTCGTGTGTGACTAATAGATTTCCTGCTTTTTCAAGTTCTCTATGTTGTTGTACCTAGATACAGCCATTGTGTGCATGTACAATAAGGATATTTTGCTCTTCATGTCTCTTGAATGAATTAGAATAAGCCACTGGGCATGGTGACTGAGACAAACATGGCGAGAAGGAACAGGTTTCACCGGTGTGTTGTGTGCGGCACAAATAAAAACGACAATAAAGACCTGAGGTTTCATTACTTCCCAAAGGACAAGAAAAGGTAAGTGCAGTAGATATATTAAGTAAGCGTAACACAAGTTAAATCATATTTTGAAAATCAAGCAGAGAAGATGTGAGTAAAACTCACAAACCAGAGCTCATTTTCTATATACAGTACAGTAATACCCCAATTTACACGGTCAATTGAACCCGTGGAGGTCCGTGTAAAACGAGAAACGCGTGAATGGAATAACAGAACATATGGGATTAATTGAAATAGAGACTGGGCCGACTCCCAAACTCCACTTTTTCCAACACAATACCTATGTTGAAGTAAAAATAACATCTTAATTTTGTGATGGTATGCACACACAATACAGTCGCCAGGTTAATGTCTATTCACATAATGGACTCAACTGGCTCCTCCCTCTCTGAGAAATGTTTGGGTGAAAACACTAGATTTTAAAGTACTGTACAGTAATGAATAATGCATTGCAAGACCAGGAATATTTTTAATATACATGTCATATTTTGCACAAAAGATAACATATTTGCTCTGTGTAAACAAAATTCTAAAATTAGATCTAAAATTTGTACGTCTAATGCAAAATCCATGATGTTTATATTCAAAATGATCATCATATTGTAAGAATTCCAGCAATGTAAATTATATTCTGGCCGGGTAATTTGTATGAATTTTATGAGCTAAATAAAAAAATTATACTTCACCCGCGTATATGAGTAGATGCACCGCGTAAAGTGGGAATTCCGGTTCTGGCAGGGTACCACGTAAATGTAGAAACGCGTAAACGAGAACCGCGTAAAGCGGGATATTACTGTACTTTCCTTGATTTTCTTCCTCTATAATTTTTTACAAAACTGAGCCAGAAACTCTTAGGGTTTGATACTATCGGTAGTTCGCTCTTGCGACTCAATCTGGCTGCCGAGGTCACAAACTATTCAAAGTGACTGTACAACAGGTAACACCACGGAGCGTTTGAATATACATGCGTCATATTTTGCACAAAAGATAACATAGTAAACAAAATTCTAAAATTAGATCTAAATTTGTATGTCTAATGCAAAATCCATGATGTTTATATTCAAAATGATCATCATATTGTAAGAATTCCAGCAATGTAAATTATATTCTGGCCGGGTAATTTGTATGAATTTTATGAGCTAAATAAAAAAATTATACTTCACCCGCATATATGAGTAGATGCACCGCGTAAAGTGGGAATTCCGGTTCTGGCAGGGTACCACGTAAATGTAGAAACACGTAAACGAGAACCGCGTAAAGCGGGATATTACTGTACTTTCCTTGATTTTCTTCCTCTATAATTTTTTACAAAACTGAGCCAGAAACTCTTAGGGTTTGGAACTATCGGTAGTTCGCTCTAGCGACTCAATCTGGCTGCCGAGGTCACAAACTATTCAAAGTGACTGTACAACAGGTAACACCACGGCCTTATTAACCCAGCATTGAATGTGGTTATAGAACTTAATTTTCACAAAACACTTTCATATTAATGTTAACTTGCCTCCTTTTTTTCTTTGGGAAAATGATGCTGTAGTCTACTTCCCAAATGTAATGAAACAGCCGACACGCAACACAATATTACCACCGTTTACATATAATTACTTCCTCTGTATTTCTTAGTCTGTTGCACACTACCTTGCTCTCAATATTGGCTCACAAATATACCACCACATGTAGTAATACTACTATAATACAGTAATTCTACTTAATACTTGGCTGCTACAGTACTCAAATTACTTGAGATCTAGTAAGTACTGTAGTATATAGCAAGTATTGATATGCCTACCACTATAGTATTTCCACGCTAACCTAGCCCGTAAACCACGCCCCTCGTCTATAGTTACAAATAGCCGATTGGTTCAAAGAAAATGTTCGTGTAGCTGTCCATTTATTCAAACTAAATATGTTCACATTTGGTAAATAGACCTGTTATTGTCTAAAATATTGTTAAATATCTGGACTATCAAAATACAAATGATTTCAAGGCATTACCACTTCAGAGAGGATGTTAGAAAATTTTAAATATTTTTCATAAAAGGTCGAAGTCAAAGATGAAATTCACTTTCGAATGAAGTCTTTTCATATTTCTTTTTTGTAAACCCACCATTGCATGGCTCTAAGATTATTGGCCAGCATCGTACATTGTACTTATCTTTTTGTTTTTTTCTTATATAGTGAGAGGACAGCACTAATTGAACTGTGTTATGGTGACTGTGAAGTGATGTTTTGTGTTTTTGTGACTCTTAAGGTGTGTCGACTGTTGTTTTGAAAATGTGAGCTGTGTCAGCCGCTATCAGTTTTTTTAATCATCTCTCACCGTTTTTTTTTTTTTTTGACAAGTGCTTTTGTTCTGTTTTTGCGACTGTGAAGTGAGCAGTGTAACTTTGAAAATGTCTGGGAAGGCCGAGGCATCCATGACAACTGTGTCTCTGAGGTGAAGCTTGACATTGTTAAACAGCAGGAGACTCCCCAGAGGCTGTGTGGGAATCAGTGACGTCTCCACTCCACCTACAAGAGTTCCCTTAGCCTTAAAGGGGACATGTGATGATGACCAGACTTGTTATTATGATGTGGTGAGTGTTGTTTAATTGTTTTGTGCTGATAGTAATATTGTATAAATTGTTGTCAGTGATTAATGTGTGTTTGGAGACTGGCTGGAAACATATCCCTGAACCCCATGTTATAATGCTCCCTATTTAGGATAATTCACCAAGCATTGAGTTTTCATGAACCTAACCCCATCGTGTCTCAAGGTTTACCTGTATTGCACTTTCAATTAAATGTCTGTTGTTTTCATAAATGTGTGCCATAAATACAGTAATTTATAAGTGTGAAAAATGGAATAGTGCTGTAATATTTTTTTTTCATTTTCAGTGAATACTGTACCAGTGAATGTTGGAGTTTGAATGTTTGTGTCAACTTGACCATGAGAAATAGGCCACAACGCAATACTGTGTAAAAAGGAATACCTCTTACAAGTGAGTCTAGCCATTTCACAAACAACTTTGCAGATTTGTCATTCATACAGTATTCTTTAAGTTTATCAGTAACATCAAACTGGAATTTGCCATTGACAGTTCTCAAGAGTTAGAGTTACCACTTCCTGTTCATACAATTTAAAATAATAAGCTCTTGTTGGTATTGACTTCTAAGCATGAATTACTCAGGATGGAGTTACATGATGACAGGCTTGAAGTCAATTGAAATAAACCAAATTAAAGTGATTTTTAACAGGTCATATGTTAGTTAGGGTGACAACATGTTGTATCCAAAGGATCCAAGCATCCTCCCCTGAGTACCCCACAGTAGGTACCTGTATTGCGTGTAATATCACTATAAGCAGTCAAAAGTAAAAAAAAAAAAAAAAAAAAGTTTTATGTATGTTTATCCAAAGTGTTGTCTGACATTATAATATACAGTACTCATTCATATGTGCACTCCCCACAAAAAGCTCTCGACTGCTATAAGGGTCATACAATATGACAAAACAAACGAGAAATCCGAACATTGCTCTTTGAGGAAGTTTTCTTGCAAATTAAATTTCTTCTTTTCACCTGTATATACTATAAAGATGAGCAACATATATTATTATGATATACAGTCAACCCTCGCTTTACGCGGTCCCACTTTACGCGTTTCCACGTTTACGCGGTACCCTGCCGAACACGGAATGCTCACTTTCCGCGGTATATGTGTACCCTTTTACGTGGAGAGCGGCGCGAGCAGGGTGCGCACAAGGTCGCCCAGTCATCAAAACATTACCAAGTTCTTCACCCGCCACCCACCACAGCCGGCCCAAGTCGGTGATAGTGAGGATATGGACTTATATGGACTTTGAGGGGTTTGACAAAGAGGCCCTGCAAGCCTCTGTGGTGGATAGTGATACAATTGATACAAGTGATACAGGTGAGGGCCAATAATCTGCCCTCTGCCTCGGAACCAACCCCCCATCCCCGTGTGCCCAGCCATCTTTTCTACGAATGTAAGTGTTAAAAAACCTAATATTATTGATATTTCTCTTAATTATTAATTGTGTGTGCATACCATCATAAAATTAAGAAGTTATTTTTACTACAACGTAGGTATTGTGTCTGAAAAAGTAGAGTTTGGGGGTCGACCGGGTATCTATTTCAATTAATCCCATATGTTATGTTGTTCACTTTACGCGGGCCGCCGTGGGTTCAATTGACCGCGTAAAGTGAGGGTTCACTGTATTGAGAGTCACTTCACAATCAGGCATGCCAATCCAGCTGTTTGTGAACTTTTTGTGGCTAGTGTACAGCACCAATTTGGTCTAAATAGATTCAATACAGTACCTAGTCTCCAGTCAAATTCCTTGAGATTGAGCAGCATTCACATTACCTGTATTTTTTAATTATAGGTACACGTATACCCACACTGGTGTTGCTTAAACCAACCACTCATAAACAAGCTTATCAGGGTCAGCCAATCAAACTCCTTGCATTGTTCTACTGTACTGTGATAAAATAACCATATAAACTGTTAATGACTCTTATCCCGAGACATTTCTAATATAGATTAAAGAATTGGTTGATGTAAACAAAAAAAAATTTAGAAACAAGTATATAATATATTGAATTCAGAATAAATACATTTTATACATTGTACACAAATACTGCCACATATTTCCCATCTGTAATTAGAATACAGTATTGTAAGTGTTTTAAAGTGGTACAGTGGTAACACGCATATCTCTCCCTAGCATGTCAAAGGTTTGAACCTTGATTGGCCCAGATACACGTGAGAAGGGTGTTACCCAATGTGACCCTACCAAACATCACAGGTTTCACGAGTTCAGTTTCTTCCTTTACTAACACTGGATAAGCCAACTGCTCGAATGGCTAGTAAGCTGATAAATGGTGAAAATAATAATAAAGAAAAGTCCTGACATTACATCAGATTCCTTTCATGAATGTTACTTCTTGTCCAACTCAGTGCAGCTCACACCCATGGAGACTTTCCTTTATACACTTCTTCCATTTTCTGTGGGACCATCTGCAGTTATCCTCTTAACATTCTATACCTTTTGTTCTTTAATCATAGTCTAATCCTTAGTCTTTGGTGAACAAACCTTACTTTCTAATTATTTAATATTACAATCACAATTAGATAACCCATTTTCTTCTTCCCTCCAGTCATCACAACAATGCTCAGTGTTACATATATAACAGGTTGTGTTTATTTTTACATTAATCGTAACATTAGCCAACAGCCGCTATCATTCCTGCTCTCTTGGAATATTTATGTCCGAGACAGGGAGATAGGTGGGGTAGCTCGCCATGTCGGTACACTGGTCATAGCCATTGTACAGTAAAGGGCAAGAATGAACCAACGGGACCACCACACACCCTGAGATAATTACACCTGCTTTAGCAACGTTAAAGTGAAGGCTATAGTAACACAGGATCAGTGAAAGCTATTGCTTGAAAAATCATGTTCTCTTCAGTGAACAAAATTTATATGGTAATAGCTGTACTGTACTGCAGTTCTAATTTGGCACTGCCTAATAATATGTGAACTATACCCTTTCCACACTAACCTGGCCCATAAGCCACACCCCTTGTCAATAGCTACAAATAGCGGATTGGTTCCCCTGAGCGTTTAACCTCCCTTGGACTGTGCATATATAAGCCCATATTTATATCGACCTTTTGTGATAAATATTCAAAATTTTCTAAAATCCTCTCTAAAGTGCTAATGTCTTGAAATCATTTGCATTTTGATAGTCTGGATATTTAGAATCATTTTAGATAATAGCAGGTCTGCTTACCAATTGTGAACCAATCAGCTATTCGTATACTGTAGAAGAGGGGTGTGGGTTATGGGACTGTTTAGCGTGGAAATACTATAGTGTGGTATTTCTTAACTACTACTGTTGGTGGTACAGTGGTAACATGCATATTTCTCACCACTGTGTCAAGGGTTTGAGTCCTGCTTGGCTCGGAAACGCACAAGAAGGGTGCTATCCAGTGTGACGCTCACTACCAAACATCACAGGCTTCTGGGACTTTAGGTTTCTTCTGTACTAACTCTGGATAGACCAACTGCCCGAACAGCTAATAAGCTGATAAGTGGTGAAAATTATGAAAAAATAGCAAGCTATCACTCTGGTAACTACAAAAAAAATATTCACTCTATATAATCTTCCCAACATCCCCAGCTATCACACACAGCAGGACGGTTAAGGTTGCTACATTATTTTAAGTCTATAAACTACTGCTAAGAACAAGGATGCCCTACAATAATTCCAGTATGTACTCCTAACAACACTAGATTTAAGATTTGTACAACAATGGCAATAGACTCCATCAACAACAATTAACATAATTAAGTCTACAACTTGCATAATTATAACTAACAATAACACCCTACAGGTACTTCTGATTGTCTTGGGTAACAATATTTAACCTCTTGTTATCATTAGTAGAAGTACTGTACTACTACTGTACTTCTTGTATACTGTACTACATACTGTATAGTACTTAAAATAGAATGTTTTTATGTTTTATAGGAATTATAAAAGACATGGAATAGGATGATAAAATGGTTGGAATTACTTGTACTGCACCAGTAAATTCCATATCACAGACAAAACTACAACAAGGAAGTTTTTTAAGAAGTCAAATTTTTCAGCCAAACCAAATTTCTCAGAAGCTACTACAAATTACAATAGTAAAGATGTCCCATACACTTGCAATAAGTACACCACTGCTTCGATCTACATCACACAGTGTGACGAATTAAACCAAACCATCTTTCAATAACTGAACATTGATTTTAGCAGAAACAGTCCAGCGTATAAAATGTTCATTGGTATGTTCCAGCTAAAATCAGACTGACTTCAGTTGTTTGTTTTAATTGGATCAATCTCATGGAGGCACAAGCATACTTACCCATAATAAAAGACATTTTCATCCTTTTAATATGTACAGTATAATGCTGCAATGAAGTTTAATTACAAAACAATTTCATGTGTATGTCATATGTATACGATAGATCAATAAAATGTGTACCATACAGCATCTGGCTGAATTAATTATCTCCTTTAAATTCCATATTTTTACTTTCCTCATTGTCTGCCTCACTATTTTATGTAATACTTACTGTACTTGGATCCTAACACTACATTTCTATGGCTCCTGAATGATAGCACTGTTTTCAATGATTCTAAGATCACTTTGCTCTATTCTGTGGTTCTTGGATCACAACTCTCCATTTGTAATAATTGCTTTATCACAACTCTCCATCTCATATAGTTCCTGAGTCACAACACTTCCCGGGTATTTTCAGTTGTTCCTGAGTCAGAGGGTTCCATTTCTATAGTGTCCTCAAAAGATTTATTGTCAGTACCGTGATTATTTGTTGTCTCAGTGGGGCTGTTGGAACCCTGTGTAGACGAGTGGGTGAAGAGTGACTGCCTGGTAATAAAGAGATAGGCAGCACCATAGAGAACAGCAGACACGAATGCTGCGCCCCCAAACACCTGCAAGGTAGCTCGATCTCCCATCACCTCTCTGATCTCTGTGCCGACAAGATTCCCCAGAAGCTGACCTAGATGAAAATGGGCAAAAGGGTATCAAACTTTTTTAAACTAAATAGAAATATGAATTCTCCAAATTGAGTGTCAGATAAGACTGGTAGTGATTCCTCCATTGAATGTAACAGACAGAAAGCACTATCAGGGACTTTACTAAGGTTATTCCACCAAACAGATTTCATTAACTGATACAAGAAATATTTCATACTTCTCATACTGTACACAGATCTCTAGATTTAAACTTAAAATTAATTTAATGTGTACAGTACAGTACAGTGTATATACAAAAATAAAACTCACCAAGACCAAAATTTAAGGCACTAATGATTCCTCTAGAGGATGTGATGGACTTGGAGGAGAAGAGTACGGTACAGTACATAATGGCCACGTTAGTGAGGAGTCCAGAGCACAGCGCATCTAGCATCTCTAGAGGCAGCGCCCACCAAGGGTTAACCAGCATGCTATACACTGCACAACGAGGTAAGGAAGAATGATTACTAACTAATAATAAAAGTTTACTTCCTAAGCTACAACTATATACTAGTGCAGTTCAGTACAGTATCTGTAAACCCTAGGTAAATACTGTATAGCCTCATCAGTTCACTATCACTACGGAACAGTAATTATTGAATCCAACAGTGACTCACTGTTTTTAAAGGTACAGTACCCTGTACTGTACAGTATACTGTATCTGTAGGTCAGTTGATATTAACCCACAGTTCCTCTTAAGTAAAAGCTTTCATTTTTCTTCATCTTACAATGTCTCACTTTGCTTTACTGTTTGTTAAAACCAATTTATGAATTTGTAAAATTTGCAAAGATGATAAATTTGAACCAAGAATCATTATCCACTTATCAATGTTTATTGTATAATTTTAAGCACTGAAAGAGTGAGGCTGGAATATAAACAACCTAATATTTTTTTTATTATTCAAAACTGAAGTATTGTACAGTATACATGTACTGTAGATTGAAGTAGGAAAGGAGAACTACTACACTGCACTAATCTATCTTTATTGTATTACTTTACTCTATTCTTAGGGCTGGAAGGCTGACAAAAGAAGTGAGATAAACATACCAAACATCCTAAAGGAGATTACAAAAAGGCCCAGTGAAATGAGAGCTGCATGTCCCAGCAGGTTCACCAGGAAGGAGCTGGCCAGGGTCAGGAAAAAGTTCAAGGGTGCCACGACTGCCACTGTCAAGCTGAGAAGTAATGGAGAACCTCCAAGACTGCCCAGGTAACGATATATAAACGTCTCTAGGTAACCCATGACTACTCCTGAACAAGGAAACATCATTTTAATTCACTCTGGAGAAAAACAAACATAAATCATTCGTGAAATACAGAATTAGAATAGTTTCAGAGCATACATACTGTACGTGGTGCAGTATATCATTTTGGTATGGTACAATTTCATAGAAGATATAAAAGGAATTTTGGTTCATGATTGCAGTAATTCATGCGAGCACTAACCTGCTAACAACATTGCACAAAGAAATATTACAACTTTTGGATTGTAGAGATGGCTGATGATTTCCTTGGTTAGGGATTGTGTTGGTAGTTTGAAGTTCAATTCAAGAAGCATCATGAAGGCAGCAGTGGTGACATGCAGGCCCCCACACACATAGAAGAGGATGCTGTTGATGTGAAATGACCTCTTCATAACTAGTGATATATCAAGTCTGTAAAATTCTCAAACCATTTTCAGCAAATTTCTAGTAAATCTCCCTGTTTTTGCCTACCAAATTAGAATCCAACCCAATCAACCTAACCAAACACAAGTATCAAACTTACTGCAAATTATACAGTAAGTGATTGTACAATTATGCCAAGTTTCAAAGGAAAGGAAAAACATATTCTTACACGTTTTAGATGATCATGTTGACAAACTTTTTTTTATCAAGGTTGTTCATATCGGCAATAAAATTCTCTATGGCTATTACATAACATACTTACATGCAGAAATTGACAATATTATTGTGAGCCTCACAAATGTAGATCTACTTTTGTCTCCTTGTTGAGTACTGAACTGACTGTCATAACACTTCTTTTTTTTTTTTCTTTTTTTATTGGGCACCCCTCTACATCCTTGTGTGAGGTGAAGCGCAGAAGCGTTTACAGCACCCAACTGGGAAGCATGCTAAGTTCATGCTTGCCTTTATGTCTCATGAAGGGCGTAGAAGCCTGAAGAGTCAATGGTTTTATGTCATCAAGTTATTGGAAGCTCCAACAACTCCCTGAATACGAATTCGCAACTTTTGACTTACACCAGGTACCTACTTTACTGCTAGGTGAACAGGGACTAATGGGGGCTAGGAAGTATGTCCAAACAACTTCCACCGGCCCGGGAATCGAACCCGTGACATCTTGCTTGCGAGGCAAGAGCGATACCGCTTCTACCACCGGCCCCCCATCATAACACATTGTAACTTTTTCCTTAACTGATGTGGTTTGTAAAAAATTTTGGCACTTGATGCTGTATTCAGAAACATAAGTACAGTTCTATAAAACAGTCTAAGTGTAATAGCATGCAGTACAGATATAGAAAATCTGAAGAGATAAGAACACTATAAATATGATGCTTTAACTTAGACGTGAATACTCATATAAATGTACCGATGAAACTAACTAGAAGTGTCCTGTGTGTTCTACGATCAGGCCGCCCGCATAGGAGAAACAGAGGGCAGCCAGGGTGCCCCAGGCCCGCTGAAAACCATAGTCCACACCTTGATTTTGCACGTAAGCCATCACAGCGCCATCGTACAGTGTGAAGCCTATTCCTGTCAGCGCTCTGTAACACATAATTATCTACATTAGTCTGAAACAAAAATCCCACACAACCTAACATAACATAATCATCCCCAACTTAACTTAACCTAACATCACATAGTCAAACACAACCTTACTACATATAAACTAAAGAAAACTTGTCTAATTTATCATAACCTGACACAAAAGTTTGTTTAATATGGCATGAGTTAACATAACATTCCATTATTTAGCATAGTGTACTATGACCAAACCTAGCATACTCGTAACTTAACAGAACTTGACGTAACAACACTTTGCCTAACTTAACATACCTTTGGTTAACCTAACATACCTTAGCTAAACAAATCTAACCTAACATACCTTAGCTAAACAAATCTAACCTAACATACCTTAACTAAACTGAATCTAACCTACCCTAACCCAACCCAACTACAGTAGCCTAAATCAATCAAAACCTAGTGAAACCAAATCTAACGTGTGTATTGTGACAATGAACTGAAGTTCTCTGACCAATGTGAGAAGAAGGCGAATCAAGCAATTAAGCGAGTGGGCCTAATAAGAAGGTCATTCTAGATGGTCCGTCCTTCGTAATGCTCTTCAAGAGTGGGGTGCTTCCCTATTTGGAGCACTGTCACCCCGGCTGGTCCCCAAGATATGCTAGAGACTGTCAGTTGTTTGAAATTGTCCAAAGTTGGGCCACCAGTCTGGTACCTGCACTACAGCACCTCAGGTACTTAGAGACTAGAGAGACTAGATAATCTGCAGTTGCCTAATTTAGGTATACTGTACTGTATTGTACTGTAAGCAGGCAAGGGGTAGCTTAAAGTTTGTAAAAATCTCGAAGGGTACGTATAACTCAATTAATATCTGGAGCTGGCCAATGCCCATCCAATTCATTTTAAGTTTGAAGAACCCACATGTTCAGAAAATTGTCAGGGCAAACTTTCCAGAGTGAGAATTGTAAACTCTTCAAACTATTTGCCAGAGAGCATTGTGACAGCAGTGAGTGCAGCTCATTCAAGACCAAACTTTACGAACACTGGTGCAGGTATAGATACAGTACTTTTCAGTAGTACATAATAGAAGCATGACCGACTGCCCAAGCTGCAAACAAGCCGATCAGTGGTGAAGAAGATAAAGTAAAGTAACTTAGCCTAATGTCACCTTACATAATTCAATAAGAAGTGAAATCTAACAAGGTACTGTACAGGGTATTAGAAAAATAAGAAACTTTAGCTGGTGGGATTTTGTTGTGTGTAATATTGTCCTGTGAACTACTGTTCTAATGTAATGGATTTTTAATAATGTGAGGGGTTTATACTGTTTTACAATTCGGTGTTTCATGTATTTGTTGTTGGGTTTATTTTTAAACATTCATTTGAATCTTGTATTGTATTGTCTGTTAGCTCCAACTGAAGCAGTTGTTGCGCATGCACTGATAATATTGTGAGCCACAGGGTTGGTTAGGGTTGCATGGCTGGTAACTTGGCTGACTGACATGGTCAACCCACTCCCTGAGAGTGTATGGGGATTTATATTGTGATTATTTTCTTGTTATTCCTATGTGGCTAATCAAACAGTGAAGATAAATATTGTCAAACATGATCTAAGAAACGTGTTTTGTTACATATTTTATTGATGATGTGAGGCGACATTGACTGGGAAAGCTGCTCAGTCGGTCTCCACCGTGTTCCACCTCATCAATGTCCGTGGTGCCCTTTCACATCATTTGAGAGGTGGCATATTGTGATTGGAGGTGTTGCTCTGGTTGAATGCGACTCCTTACGGGTCGGCTTAGACGGGGCTGCATTAACAACGGTGCCCGAGGAGCCCTGGGTCCAGGGGGGCCCTTGAGCTTGCAGATATTTGTTGTCATAATAATAGTAATTGTAATAATAATAATAATGTAAAATTTGCAACCCATTACATTGCAGCATAAATAGTAAATGTTTGCAGTACTGTACAGTATTGTATAAGGACACATTATATTATTTATATTAGTAATAGTACTAATAAATATATATGCTGGTATTTCTCAGTTTGCACTATCTTTTCGTCTAAATATGAATGCTCGTGCATACACACACCTCCGAGCAGGAATACACCGTTCGTTCAGTCTCGTGTTCACGTTTGATTGCCACGTACCTGCTTGGGATTGTTGTGTGAGAGCTGCTCTGTGCGACACTCATTGATTCATATTTATCATTGGATTTTATGTCTTTACTAAGTTTACTGTGCAGTGGATGAATATGATTCTATGCTTTAGAGTTATGGTATAACATGAATTTGGGGAACTGCAAATATCTACCAGTCTACCTATGCATGAAATTTTTTAATTTATGATATTTATCATATTCTGTTGTGCATTTCAGGCTTTCAGTTTCAGTTATTAAAATAATGAGTGGCAAAGGTTTAAGTGGAGCTGCTAAGCGCAAAGCCAGAAAACAAAAACAACAGTATTCTGCTGAACTTAAAAAAAATAAGAAAAGTTACTATTTACTTTTTTTTTTTTAATATAAACCAAAGTGAGAAAAAAAGACTTGCCACACTATAGTACCTCGTCTGCTGATGCTACACCTACAACTGACCAACTAAAGGAGGAGGACTTAACTGGCTGTAGTACCTCGTCTGCTGATGCTACACCTACAACTGACCAACTAAAGGAGGAGGACTTAACTGGCTGTAGTACCTCGTCTGCTGATGCTACACCTACAACTGACCAAGTTGGCTGTAGTACCTCGTCTGCTGATGCTACACCTACAACTACTTGGCACCTACAACTGCCTGCTGATGCTACACCTACAACTGACCAAGTTGGCTGTAGTACCTCGTCTGCTGATGCTACACCTACAACTGACCAACTTGGCTGTAGTACCTCGTCTGCTGATGCTACACCTACAACTGACCAACTTGGCTGTAGTACCTCGTCTGCTGATGCTACACCTACAACTGACCAACTAAAGGAGGAGGACTTAACTGGCTGTAGTACCTCGTCTGCTACATATACAACAGACCAATCAAAGAAAAGTGATGAAATTAAACAGCATGATATTCAGTACATTGAAACTGATCCTGGGAAATGGAGAAGACCAATATCACAGAAACTTTAAATTTACTGGTCAAAGGCTGGGCCAGATACTTGTCAGCATCATGACTCTGAGTTTAAAGAAACATGAAGAACATCGGTTCAGGTGAGCATCAGAAACACCGTTTCCTCTCTTAGGTCTGCATTCTTCAGAACTTAGAATAATGGCAAGTCAGTGAAGAGAGAATGGTTACTCTTCTCTAAATCACAAGGTAAACTCTACTGTTTCACATGTTTGCTTCTCTATAGTACATCTACAAGTTGACCATTTGTGCATGGTTTCAATGACTGGCCACACACCAGCAGAGTTCTTGGGGAATGCAAATGTTCAGTGGATCAAAGAAAAACAACTCTAGCCTATGTACAGCGATAAAAAATCGGTAATTGTATTGGCAGTGGACTCCGTCAGCAAATTAAAAATGAGAGGAAATATTGGCAATCATTGCTTTTGCGTTTGGTAGAAGTAATAAAGTTTTTGAGTGAGCGTGGATTAGCGTTCAGAGGATCTGATCAAGTCATAGGATCACCCCATAATGGTAACTTCCTAGGTATTCTGGAAATAAAAGCAAAGGAAATCTAAGTTACTTGAGCTCCACCATTTGTGATGAACTCATTTTGGTAATGGGAAAAAAGGTTTTGTCAACTGTTTGCAAAGAGATTCAGAGTGCAAAATACAGTGGTCCCTCGGTTAACGAGCACAATCCGTTCCAGCAGGTTGCTCGTTAACCGAAAAACTCGTTAACCGAAACCATTGTTTCAATGGGTTTTTGGGTAATTGGTTCCAGCTCACCGAAAATTGCCTACATTCAACAAAAAAGGTAGAAAAGTACACTTACTTTGAGGTGTGTATGTAGAAGGCTCCTGGATGATGATGATGATGGAAATTAGAATGGGGGTGGAGGAGAAGGGAGAAGAGAAGGCATTGGGGTGGAAGAGAAGTCACCCCATGGCGCCATTTCACCCATAAAATTTTAGTTCTCTTGGTGTAATTCAAGATTATTTTCTTTAAATCAACACTGCACTGCATTATATATTGTCAATATGTAAAATAAATTTCAAAATGACCAATAATTTGCTCGCAAACACAGAAAAAAAGCGTTTAGTTGAAGAGTCTCAAGCAAGATGTTACCTCCGCTGAAAAGACAGAGAAACTGGCACCTGTTTGGTGTGTTGCCAGGCTGGATGGCGCGCATAAAACTAGTTACCTTACCTTCAATTATGTTCAATAATTGTTAAAATTACTAAAAAATTTAATATTAAACTTTTAAAATTATTGAATAGTATAAGCTTCTTGATATTTACTAAAATAGTAAGGAATTTAAGCCCTAAAACCGATTACTGTATTGGCGGACTAATACTACAGCTAGTTGACCGCCAAGTGCAAGTGAAAACATGTTGAGGTTGGCTCGTAAAAAACTCGTTAATCGAGGGATTGCTCGTTAACCGAAGTTAAGAATCTTATGGAAGGTAAATCATTAACCGAAATCTCGTTAACCGAGGGATCACTGTACTACTTATGTTTAGATTCTACACCCGATACTTCAAGAACTGACCAACTTGCATTCACTATTCGGTATGTTTCTTCGTCTGGTGAACCAGTGGATCGTTTTTCGCTTTACCTTCCCTTCACTAGTCACACAGGAGAAAATATGTGTGAGAAGGTCCTGCACACATTGAATGAATTGGACATAGATATTCAAAATTGTCGTGGACAATCGTACGATAATGCTGCCAATATGTCTGGGAAATATGAAGGTCTCCAAAGAAAAATCAAAGATGTAAATAATCTCATTGATTACTGTATGTACCTTGTGCTACCCATTCACTGAACCTGGTAGGAGTTCATAGTGTAAGTTGTTGTTTGGAAGCCATAAAAAAATTTGGTTTACTGAACAAACTATACTTTCTGCACAGGATAAACACGTCATTGGGCTATCTTGACAAAGGGTTTCATTCCAAATGAAAACAACAAGATTTTAACTTTAAAATTATTGTCAACTACGCGATGGTCTTGCCATGCTGAGGTTACAAAGGCACTGTGCCTGAACTGCAAAAGCCTACATGAAAACCTGAAAGACTTTGTGGCTAATGATAACGAAATTGAATCTATGAAGTCAGAGGCACATGGGTTAATTGCTGGCCTAGAAAAGCTTAAAACCGGTTTCATGGCAAAAATTTGGAATAGAATACTTATTCGGTTCAATAAAGTAAGCCTAACTCTGCAAAAGGAAAGTGTGGATTTGCTGACAGCCACATCATTGCTTGAATCTTTTGAGGAGTTCACCGAGAAACTGCGTGAAAAATATGACGAGATTGAAGATGATGCAAAGAACACCATGCCATACATAAACCAACATTATCAATATGAAGAAAAACGTCATAGAAAATGAAAGAGATGTTTTGATGAAAGTAAATCATCAGATGAAGAATTCACAGAATCCCCAGGTCAGATGTTCAGGGTGCAAACTTTCACTCTAATCATAGATACACTGCGGACTTGTCTTGAACAACGTAAAGAAGCTTATAGAGGACAAGCTGATGATTTTGCATTTCTAAAATGTTTCTCAGATCAAAACAAAGAGCATTTGCCAGCTAGAATAATCCATCTCACGTCAAAATACAGAGTTGATTTTGATTCTGATTGTGCTGATGAATTTGAAAATGTTTATGATTTTATGATCGGATTGAAAGAGAAAATAGATTCACCACTGTCAATGCTCAAATTCATAAAACTTCAGAATGTGGAAGCAACTTTTCCAAATGTCAGCATAGCTTTGTGAATATTTCTGCCATAGCATGTCACAGTGTGTGAAGCAGAATGCAGCTTTTAAAAAATGAAACTGGTGAAAAGTGAAAGGCGTGCTACAATGAGCCAAGATAAGCTGAACTGCCTTGCCATCATGTCCATTGAAAGCGATCTAACACATGTGATTGACTTTGTAGATGTGGTTTCCAATTTGCTGCTATGAAAGCTCGAAAGGCTAACTCTTATTTAAAAATAACTATAAAGTACTTCATCTAGATACAGCTGTTTCTTCCAATAAATGAATTAAAATCAGACATTCTGATTTCAGGTACTTCAATTTTGTCAGATTTTATTTTATTAAAAGGTAAATTTTTGTTTCTGAGTATTCTCTGTACGACTACTGATAATGAATGTATGCAACTTAAAATTTAAAGAGAAAACCGTAGCAACGGATTTAAGTTGGATAAGTTTAGGTTTAGGAGGGAGATAGGAAGGAACTGGTTCACAAATAGGGTGGTAGACGAGTGGAACAAGCTTAGCAACTTTGTAGTAAGTGCTGGAACACTGGAAAGTTTTAAAAGGAGGCTGGATAGATTCATGGATGATAGAGAGTGATTGTAACTAGACAGGAGCTGCCATGCACAGGCCAACTGGCCTATTGCAGACCCCTTTTTTTTTATGTTCTTATTTTATAAGTTAAATTAAAAACAAAATAAAAATCATTAAATAAACTTCCTTTTTTCCTTAAATTTACAATGACTTTCTTTTTCCTGAAAGAAGTAGGGGGATGGGATAAAGGGGGCCCCTCTCGATAAAGTGCCCGGGGCCCTAGATTGTCTTGATGCGGCCCTGGGCTCAGAGTGCCCACCCATATTTACACACTGAGGTGCCTTCTTGTTTTGTCTGTAACTGCATGCTTGCCACCGTTTGTAGTGCCTGTGCCCGGAAGGACATCCACACTCTCACTGCCCACCGTCCTTGTGTCAGTTCACCAGGAGTACAGTTATGTCATATCTATTATTTTAATATTTTATTATATTTTACATTTGCTTTGAGTGTTAGTTTACCATCATTATTGTTACACCTATTGTTTATACTGGATGAATTTAAGTTATTGTTAATACAGTTTGTATGTACTGTACTGTACTGTACTGTACTGTACTGTACTGTACTGTACTGTATTTGATTTATATGTATATCCTTGGTGAATGTGAAGAGGTTTCATCCGACAATAATATTAATAAGAACACGAGGGATAAGCGTACAAACCTCTAACACCTAAGGACCAAATTTTCTCCTAATCCATCGCAAAAGAGCTGTGATTTTTTTTTATAATCCATACTGATCTAAGAAGAAATGATTTTAACAGAATGCATTACTAGTCATATTCATTACAAACTTTATTTCTTCTTTAATATGGAAGGGAGTCAAACTTTTAAGTAAAAAAAGGTGATTTGATTAATTATGAGGCGATAGGTTACTGTTTGGCTTAATTATTATTAGTAGTATTTTTGTTTTAGATCATCTTCATACTAATAAGTGTACAGTACTGTATTACATTTTGAGCTTAACTAAATTCAAGTATGGTGGAGCAACAAGTAACACTCACCCATAAGACGTCCTGAGAATAAGGTAACTCCAAAAGGTTATGTTCAACCTTTCTGGGTCTGGTTCCATGATGGGCATTAACATTGAGGAGTTGATGGTCAGGTTATGTTCAGTGGTGGCTACAGTGGCACTGATGTTATATCCTGTAGCAGTTATGTTATGCCCAGTGGTGGTGGTAGTAGGGTGGGCCAGGGGCACAACCGTGAACAGCAGAATGTTGACACCAGCCAGGGCCGTTGTGATGCTCATCGGTACCTACAACACATTTAACCTTGACAAAATAAGGAACACACGGGCACCATGTGCTGCAATTGCCTTTTTGTCTTCTTGCCTCTGCTAGAAGCCCTAAACAGTGTCACCAGTCAAGATGGTAATCTGCCTTATTGCTATACAGTACAGTACTGTACTTCTTACTGTACCTTGCTTTATATTGTTAGCCTCTTGGCCAGTTGGTCACATCTCTGTTGGCAAGTACTGGGCATGTACTGGCTCCAGAATGTATCTGTACCTGCACCAGTGTTGGTCAAGTCTGGTCTTAAATTAGCTCACACTTGGTGCCGTCACAACACTGGCAGCTTCTTCCAAGAGTTCGCAACTCTCGCTCCAAAAAAAGTTTGCCTTGACAGTTTCATGAACACGTGGCTTCTTCAACCTTAAGCTATGACCCATTAACCAGTATATTTTTAGATGTTGAAATATTGAATGGTGTTTGTGTGTGCTAGATAATGAAATGCAAAATATAGGGAAGTTTGGGAAAAAGATAGTCTTGCCTTGAAATTGCCAATCTTGTCACCGAGGAGGGTGGCCCAGAAGGGCAAGAAGATGGACACCACCGACAGAGCTGTACCAATGACCCCTGTGTAGTACGTGCTGATTCCCAGCTCTCGTTGGTGAATGGTAAAATGGGGCCACGGCAGCACCATGGCTAAAAAAAAAAAAAAAAAACTGAAGTTAGCACAAAATTTATCAAAGTATGTCCAACCTGCAGTTACAAGTACTGTAAACAGAACTGCCTTTATAAATGTTCTATGTTACCATAACCAAGACAGTAATACAAAACATAAAGATTCAACATGTCATAACTAATGCCAGGACTGGATTAACCATAAGGCTAATACTGTAAGGCTGTAGTGTTAGGCCCATGAGTTTAGGCCTTAATTTGTGTTTCTTAAACCTACATTTTTTTTTCACAACTTCACAAGTTAGATAAATGAATATTTAAAATTGTTTGAATATACTGTATATAATGAATTATTTACAATATACAAGTACAGTATACATAATATATGGTAGTACAGTTCCTATATAGGGCCTTCCCTTTGTATCAGTTTTAGGCCCCACACAACCTTAATCTGGCCCTGCACACATACAGTACATCCCTTCTCACCATCATCTGGGGAACCTTTAAGGATAAACTACATGACTTAACAGTACAGTACAGTATTAGCTTACCAGCGAGGAAGAAGAAGTAGATAACTTTGATGACTATCAGCTTGGCATTCTTGAGGTCTTGCAGGTACCTCCGCAAACCATCTGATACCTGCATGGTTATCACGAGCTTGATGATTGAATTCTTTAGTATGATGCTGGCTTTCTGAAGGGGTGACTGACGATTGTATGGTGTTAATAAAGAACACAGAAATAATGACTTTGAGATTATCTGCTCCTGATGTTCAGAAGTAGTAGTCTAGTTCAGTATCATTCCTATTCTTCTTTATGTATTTGGTGAAGCCTCAGTGGGCTAGTTTCCTTACGCAGGTGTCGCTTCCATGTACCTTGAAAAAATGTTACTGTTTACTGTAGATATCAACTAAAGATTAGGTACTCTCGTTTATTTCACCTGATGATTTAATTATCAGGTGAAATAAGCTGGGGTGCTTCATCTTTAGGTGAAAGTTATATACTGCCTAAGTCTAGTTTAACCCCATGGTAACTGTGTACTTCTGCAACTTAGTTCAAGTCCTTAACTGCAATATGTTATATAAGATTATGTGAGGAAAATTTGAATTTAGACACATTCCTGCACTCTTAAGAGCTTGCCTCCTGTATGAACTATTACCTCTTATTATTATTACTTTTATTGGATCACTTGAAAATTAGCCCCAGCCTAATTCACCTGATGATTAAACACCATGGGGGGTTAGATTAGCATGGGGGTGGTTAATAAGCTGAGTGGACTAATCTTCATTATTATTATAGATATTATTATTATCATCATCAATGTGAACTACCGTACATACTGTATCATCTTGTGACATGCCTGTCACCTATAGCCTACTGTATTTGACACACCCCTCAGTAGTGTCCAGTGACCTACTCGGTTCACAGCCCACGTTCTACTGGTGTCCTTCTTGTTCCTGAGCAAGGAATATTATATGGATCTACAGTACAGTATTAGTCTTCTACTACAGTACTATACAGTATAAGGATAGCCCACTCCAATGGGCGAACGTGTTCACTGACCAAATTGGCGCCACCAAGTGGCTGGGAGTAAATAAAATAATTACCAGGCAAGGAATAAAGCGAGGAAGACAAAGAATCCAGCAAAATCATTTCTCTCTTTTTAATGCAGGTGCAATGGGGCCTCGGTACTGTGCAGCTATTAAATGCTCTGGCAGCTGTGTAAGGAACAGAAATCTGTCTTTCTTTCAATTTCTGAAAGATAAAGAGCGATGAGTCGTACACCTACTTCTGTCAATGTGTACTGTTGACTGTTCATTACAGTAGTTTTTATGAGCTCTTGCTTTATTTCATGCATTTAGTACTGATAACTTTCCACTCTTCAGAATTGCTAGATAACATCAGTCTGTTTAGAATAAATAAGATGAGCGGGATACTGTACGTACTGTTGTACAGTATTCTCGAAAATATAGGGTGGAACTTTTAAGTTTTGGGTCAAAATTCGTTTTATGAAATTGCATATTTTTTGTATATTTCAATGTGTTTTGAATTGATTTCATATTCATTTTTGGGCAAATTCATGAAAACCTTAACCCCAGCCCAAATTGTGTGGTAAAAACACAAAAAAAAATTAACCAATCCAACCTAACAAAACCTGATCTAATCTAACCTAACTTAACTTTATCTAACTTAAATTTACCTAACCTAATTTTACCTAACCTAACTTTAAATACCTAACATAACTTTAAATACCTAACATAACTTTAAATACCTAATATAACTTTAAATACTTAATATAACTTTAAATACCTAATATAACTTTAAATACCTAATATAACTTTAAATACCTAATATAACTTTAAATACCTAACATAACTTTAAATACCCAATATAACTTTAAATACCCAATATAACTTTAAATACCTAATATAACTTTAAATACCTAATATAACTTTAAATACCCAATATAACTTTAAATACCTAATATAACTTTAAATACCTAATATAACTTTAAATACCTAACATAACTTAAATATAATTAAACCAATATTTAAATACCTAATATAACTTTTAAATACCTAATATAACAAATACCTAAAAACTTTAATACCTAATATAACTTTAAAATAAATACCTAATATCACTTTAAATATAATATAACTTTAATACCTAATATAACTTTAAATACCCAATATAACTTTAAATACCTAATATAACTTTAAATACCTAATATAACTTTAAATACCCAATATAACTTTAAATACCTAATATAACTTTAAATACCTAATATAACTTTAAATACCTAACATAACTTTACCTATCTAACATAACTTTTCCTATCTAACATAATCTAACCTAACCTATTCTTACTTCATCTATATAGTATATACCTTCCTCTCCTAACTCGAACTAACCTATCTTTACTTACCCTAACTGTAATGTGGAATTGTGGTTTACCTCTGTATTGTTCTTATGTACTAATGTATGTCTAAGGGATGTAATTCTTTTAGTTTTGCATAGCTAGAATTACTGTACTATCATTTTGCAATTTGCCTAAATGTCCCTTCTATGTTTCAGTATTCTATAATCTCATTTTGTTATGTCCTTTTGTTTCCGATACTATTTTATTACTGTAGGACAGTTATAAGATGAATAAAGCCGAGTTAGGTACTGGCAAAATCTGTTTCATTACAATTTATTCATTCATTGAATTCTCCGAATGAAACATAAAAGATACAGACCTCTGATCAGGTACCAGGGTAAAGTGCCTGCCAGGCAAGAAGTTTCAACATTTTCTAACTATTTCAACTATAGCATAAACTTCCTTCTCAACAGCTGAATGTTTTTGATAACTGTTTGAGAGTCTCCTTGAAAAGAATGCAACTGGTCTGCCAGCTTGGTTAGGGGTGGCCGTGATAGCAGAGTCAGAGGCATCTGTTTCCACTACAAAAGGAATGGACTCATCAATTGAACAGACTACAGCATTTTCTATCTCTTTTTTTCAGCTTTCGAAGGTAGTCACAGCTTCTTCTTGGAGAGGAAATTTTCGCTTTTGACAAGAGGTCTGATTTTATCAGAGTAACGAGGCCTCCACTGTGAGTAGTAAGAGAACATTCCTATCACACACCTCAATGACGGGTTACTTTTTGGAACTGGTAGTTCCTTTAAAGGGCGTAAGCATTTAGCATCTGGTCTCAGAGTTTCTTGGGATATTGTGTAGCCCAGCAAATCTATAGATGGAGAACAGGTGATGGATTTGTCTTCATTGAAGGTGAAGTTTTGTTTCTTGGCATCTTCAATTTCTTGAGGCTAGATAGGTTATCATCGTGTTCCTTTTGGGTTATAATTCTTCAACAGTAATGTTATCAATATAAGCATAGGTATTTGATGATAAGCTCTTTTAGATCAAGAGTGCTGAAGAGACTGTAGTTGGACAGTTTTGTCACAAAGTCATCAATGCAAGGCAGGGGATATGCATCTAAATGGGTATACCTGCTTATAGTCTGGCTGTAATCAACAACTAGTCTCTTTTTGTGGCTTTCATTCATTGTGATCAGAACTTGAGCCCTCCAAGGTGATGTACTAGGTTCTATTATGCCTTCTGACAACATCTTGTTAATTTCTCCTTTGATAAATACATGATCAACTTCTCCAAATCTTCTGGACTTGGTGGCAATGGGCTTACAAGGAGGAGAGAGATTGGAAAATAGTAATGGTGGCTCTACAAATGCCATACTACAGCTAAAGTTATTGATGCTAAGATCTGCCTTGTGGCCTCCAAACTGATTGTAACAGACTCCTACAACCCCATGAAATCCTGTCCAAGTATAACACCACAACAAAGATCATCCAACACAGTAAGACGTGTATCAGGGTAATGTGTTCCTTGTAGAGAAATATTAACCTTACTGTATCCTAATACAGGAGAAGCAAGAGAAGAGAAAGCCATAGATACATGGCCAGTTCCAGACAGCATAGTTAGGGCCTGCTGTTGTATATATTAGTGAGACACAAATAATTCAGAACTTCCTGTAGCAAGGAGTGCTGTAGTCTTCATGCCATCGACAAGGATGTCTACGGTTCAGTGTTTTAAGCAGCCTGGAGCAGTGGCAGCAACAGTAGGTGAGTCAGTTGCAGCTGAAGTTGAGGCAGAAACAGATGGAAAATTTGAATTCGACCTGCACCTTTGGAAAATTCCCTTTCTGACTGCACTTGTACCATGTTAATTCTTGAACCGGGCACCTGCGTTGGTCATGTCAAAGCTCCACAAAAATAACACCTTCGAGAGTCCCCCAATTTTTGGACAGTTGCAGACACGGGTTCCTCTGAATAATCAACATTCCCAGAAAGAAATACTGCAGAGCTTACAAGAGATGATCCTTGTACATAGGACTCGGAATTCCTTTGAGCAAGATCCAGTGCCCTAGCTTGGTCAAAGGCTGTCTGTAGATCCAGACTCTTATTTCTCAAGAGGCACTGACGAATCAGTGGTGTCATGAGTCCATTGATGAAAGAGTCTTACATAGTCATCTCGGTTCTGTTCTGCTGTAACAGCCTTGAAGTTGCACTCCTCACTGAGCCATGAAGTTCATCCAATGTTCTCCCGCACATTGCCTTCTTGTGGCCAGAAGATGCCAAGTGAAGATTTCATTCTTGGGCTTCACATAGAGATCCTGAAGAATCTTTAATGCAGCCTCGTATGTGGCTATTGCCGATGTATTCATATATTCTAGGAGACACGAAGTTGATGAGGGTGTTCAGTTTGTTTGGTGTATGGGATGGCGCCACGTTATTTCGGGAAATCAAGAATAGTCGAAGAAATGGCTGCTGAGATTCAATGTCATGAAGTGTAAGAGAATGCACCTGGGGCGTACCAACGGTAAGGAGGCATATCATATGTCCCAACAGGATGAAGAAACTGCACTATTTGAGACTGAATGTGAGAAGGACCTAGGTGTGTATGTTGACAATGAGCTGAAATTCTCAAGCCATTGCGAGAAGAAGGTAAATCAGGCAAATAAACTATTGGGTCTTATAAGAAGGTCGTTCAGAGATATCTAGACAGTTCGTCCTGAAGATCCTTCAAGAGTGAATCCCCCCACCGGAGTACTGTCACCCCGTCTGGTCCCAGAGAAGCTAGGGACTGTCATTTGGTTGAAAATTTTCAAAGACCAGACTGGTGCCTGCACTTCGGCACCTCAGCTACCCTGAGAGGTTGGAGCGCCTGAACTTGCCAGCTTATACTACAGACGGGCATGGGGTGACCTAATGAGGTGTAAGGAGCATCTATCAATCGAGTGTCCTTACTTGAGCCAGGGACGTCGCCCCACAAGAAGTCACGCTCAAGATTGAAGAAGCCACAAGTTCAGAAAACTGTAAGGGCAAACCCGGTGAGAGTTGTGAACTCGGAACAATCTACCAGAAAGTGTTGTGATGGCACCGAGTGTGAGCTCTTTCAAGACAAGACTTGACCAACACTGGAGCAGGTTCAGGTACATTCAGGAGCCAGTGCATGCCCAGTACTTACCAACAGTGCGTAACAGACGTGACCGATCGCCCAAGCGGCTAACGAGCCGATCATTCTGTGAAGAGGATAAAAGTAAAAGTAGAGATGGCGCTAGATTGCTGGTGTGTCGGCTGTTGATATTCTTAGTGCTTTAACTTTCGCTAGGTCAAGGTATCATTACCTTGGGTGAGGTGGTGTCACTGTACAGATAAACGTGGCTCCAAACGCCGGTCACCGTTGTGTTGTTTGTGGTAAACACAAAAGAAATGATAGAGATCTAAGGTTTCATTTCTTCTCAAAGGACAGGAAAAGGTAAATTCATAGTTATGTGGTTGATTCGTAAGCAGTGTGACCGTTAAATTGCAGTTTAATTTTATTTAGTACCACCACTGCTTACTTGCCATTCGGGCAGCAGGTCTCTTCATGTTACTTTTTATGAACTTGATTGTCCAGTAGCACCTATTGAGTAAACCCTTTTTTTATAGTTGTTTCTAGTGCAATTTTGACTCCTTTCAAATGTACAATTATAAATGTAGGAAATCTATAGAAGAAAAATAAGAGCTCGGTTTGTTCACATTTCTACGCATGATACGTGTAGATCTGTATGTCGTAGACCACAGGTCGATGAGGCGAAATGCAAAGTTAAATCGGCTTAACTTTTTTTCCTATTCATTACCTTCAATTTTGTGTAACATATCTGGAAAGCGGGGGTAGAACTACCGTAAATAAATTATAAAGGGGATTATTCAGTGGGTCTTGGGCTACAATTAACCAGTCATTTGAAAGCACATATCCACGCACATTTGCAAGAAATTTAGGTTATATTCGGGCCTGTCACGAAGTGCCAATACGGGAGCAAATACCTTTTTAACCCCTGCATTTCCTTCCATATAATATAATAATAATCTATATCGTGCTTGAGCAGTTGCTGCGTGTTTATAATGTACACTTTCAACTGCAGTTGTAACAGAATTTAAAGATAACGTTGAGTAAAAAAAAACCAGTGAACAATTTAGTGGTACTGTAGTGGATTTCTCCCCTACAAACGCTGTTTGTCGCTGAGTAGCCGACCCCACGACTTCCCCAGTGTACCGTGGTCTGGGTCAACCAGCGCCGCCATACATCACGGAGGTCAACTACTAAGCCACGCCTACTCCCGCTATTTAAGACCTGACCTCGTGGTGACCTCTCTCTTTTCTAGCTACAGCCGCAGCAAGCAACACCTCCTCCTCCTCCTCCTCCGCCGCTGCCTGGCGGCCCCTCGCCCGCCGGCGAGCATGGCGACCCACAAGCTGTCCTCTGAGCACCCTCACCAACCAGCTCTCTCTACATCACGCTTGTAACCATGCTGCCTTCCCAGCACCAAGCTGCATTGTACATCCAATACAACATGTATACAGAGAGCACATTGTGAGTTTCCTTTCTCCATCCCATCCTGAGTGGGAACCCAAACATCCCATACCCCACAGTACTTTCCAGGCCCTTTCCATTCAGGCACTTTTAGCTTTCATTTCCTTTGACAGATGATGGTCTTATTTTTCATAACATGTAAAGACTGGTTAAGTAGCTGAACATAGCGTATTTAATCACCAGTTTCTTACGGGCTCTCCTGTACTAACACTGGACAATATAGTTCATAACAGTACTAAGAACAAACCTCCTGAACGGCTAATAACTGGTGAGATGATAAATAATATAGATAAATAATTCAATGAATGCCGATGGCATCGAAAGTAAAATCAGCGGTAAATACTAGAGTACAGTTTAAAAATATATATACCTATATCAGGGACAAGGACAGTATTGTACCATATCATGCTTGTCCAATAGATGGCGCCAGTGTCGGGGCTTAAAGAAACTATTGTATGGTGTTTTGGTTCCTTCTGATATCCTTGTTTACGAGCTTTGGCCTACAGTACACTGGGCATCTGTCTCCCTTCTCTTTAGCCATTCTAGTGACCTGTTGATTTTCGCTTTGTAAATTGTATTACTATCGGGACAAAAAGTGAATTGTGAAGTGTCATCTCTTCAGAGGTCACACAATATAACACTCATAGCACTGATAACAGGGTTCACAGTATTTTTATTATTATTATTATTATTATTTTATGTTCCTTAAGTACAAAATTGGGTTGAATTAGTGAGGTAGGTTGTGATTTTGTCCAGACAATATTAAATCGCCAAGTAAATGCTCGCATAACCAGTTGGGGTATTTCCTATAAACGGGGGTTACTGGGACAATGTTACTTCCTTTACATTAACTTAACTAATATTGCCATGTCCTCACTGTTGTGCTTTTATTTTTCCTCAATGTTTTTAAATAATTGTTGTGACAAGCGGGTATTAGTGTATTTTTACAAAATATTCCTTGCCAAACTATCAAAAACTGGCTCCCGTCCCTCGGCATGGCCACCTCTAGTGAGTGGCCATTAGGTAAATAAAGTAATAAGAAATTTAATTAAATGTTTCGGAAGTCAGCGCGTGATTACGATTTTCATACCGGTGGCTGAGGCATTATGCACTTTTGAAACAGGCAGGACGATCAAACCAACCTTAATTCACTTTTCCTAACTAGATTGTTTGATTTGGTTTGGTTTGGTTGATTCGTTTTGCTGGTTTTAAAAGATAATTTGACCGAATAACTTCTATGACGTTTATAACAGAAAACACAAAACAAGGGCTTTAAATCGACCGTGACGTTGAGACAATTACCCGTTATTTCGAGTAGTTCTTATCGTCTCAGTACGACTGTGCATTAACACCCATATACAGTATAAGAAACGAGTAATAAGGAATTGTTTTGGGGTTTCTCGTGAATATTGTCACAACCACCAGTCCCCCAGGCTATTCCCCGTAAAAAAAAATATATATAAACATTGTTTGTCGGGGAAAAAACACTACAAAATGGGAAAACACTTAATATTAAAACCGCATACGTAAAGGTTAATTATAAGAGTTTTCCCATTTGAGAATTTATTCATTAGTAAACGACACTAGGAGTCACTGAATGTCGGTCATGAGTCATGACACTTGGCGAGTGTATAAGAAACTTTCCAGACCTTGGCAGACGTTCAAGCTGCATCGTTAATGAACTCTTACGTGCACGGCAAGGTTTTGAGTTCAATTAAAACCTGTGAAATGATAGATAAAAAATAGGAGAATAATGAGAAATCGATAAATATGACTGAATATAACTAATGGAAACCCTTGAACTCAATAACAGATGCTAGTTAGATCGTGGTTGACGCCTGTATTACTGAACGCTTGAGTCACTCTTCCTCGAAAACAGTGAAGCAAAAAAGTTTGTAATTGTAAAGTAATATGCTGATAACCTCTTGCACTATACCCAGTAATTATCCCTAAGATGAAAGAAAACACAAGTTGATACTCACTGCGTAGAACATTTCAACGTCCTCTACCACAACTGCCCTTTGTCGCCGTAAAGGTAATTAATTAAACAAAGCTTTTCCGGTTACAAGTTCAAGTCCCCCTAATCTGACTGACTGTGTTTCACACCACACAGACGCTGGCACAGAGGTAACTGACCACCTCACTTTCTCGCTACCATTATATTCCCCACCAGCAACAGTTACCAGTCAGCGTATTAAATATTCTCACAAAAATTTCTTTTTTTATATATTAAACCGCAATTTCCACCACAGTTACTTAGAGACAAAACCTGTGTGCATATAGTTGATTGTATATTATTGGTTATAGGTAATTTATTGTAGGTAACTGATAAACAAAAACTTGCTGGTGACTCTGAACTTGTATAATACTCCAAGTAGCGGTGCAGCCTGGAGCCTAGCGAGATTGTTATTGTAGCGTCGTCACTTTCCCCAGTTCTTCTTCGCCATTGCTACTATATCCTCACCTGGCATCACTATTATGATGTCACCTTCACCATATCCTCACCTCCCATCACCACACACACACCTCGCATCACCACACACACACTTTCCATCACAACGTCTACACACACACAGACACACCGTTCATCGTCACACACACATACATACATACATACACCTTTCATCACCACACACACACACATACACCTTTCATCTCCACACATACACATACACACACACACACACACACACACACACAAACCTTTCATCGCCACACACACACACACACACACCTTTCATCACCACACACACACATACACACACCTTTCAACACCACACACCTTTCATCATCCTCCACACACACACCCCACACCTTTCATCGTCTCACACACACCTTTCAACACCACACACACACACCCTTTCCTTTCCACACACACACCTTTCAACTTCCCACACCTCACACACCTTTCATCGCCACACTTTCATCGCCACACACACACACCTTTCAACACCGCCACACCTCCAATCACCATTAATACGTTCACCATCACGGATCACTAGACGCACACCTATCAACAGTAATCGAATATACAGTATATGCCTGAATGATTATCTCAGAATAGGGGTTATGGCGATTCTTAGGGGAAAGAGGGAATTTTTTAAAGGAAAGGTGGGTCATGTAGGGATTTTTTCTATACAAAGTGGTTTTCCTATCGTAACCATAGCTGAATCATTCGAAGACGCAACTACAGGTTCTCGTAGCATCAATGGTTTGCATTTCAAATTCTTCCGGGAAATTTTCTTCTACTAAAGCATGGATTTTCCGACCGTAACCGAACCTGAATCACTCTTAAGACAATGTTGATGTCTTGTAGCGTTGTGCAGTACTCAGAATGCAGGTGAATGCTCTCCAAGAACAACCCTACAGCCGCAAGGAAATGACGTCATGTCGGTAATAGCTAATCAACGCTGACCTATAGTATTGACGTCACCGCGCGTAAGCAAGTGCTGCCGACTCCAGACAAGAGAGTACAGTGTTGTTTTTATTAAAGTTTAGGCATATGTTATACAGTACTTCACAAATTGATGTTGTTAACATTACGAAAACAACAATTTAATATCAACATCATACTTGAATAATGTTTACACTACTGTATAAACACAACACTAATTTATCACCCATCCCAGTGACCATAATTATAATATCACTTGTTGTTTTGTTATCAGGCGATACGTTGGCTCATAGCTGATTACCAGATTAGATACAATCCCATTTGAAACCTCAGTCAGTATACAGTTTGTAGTGTGAGCTATGTCCGCATCTGTTACCCTCTTGGTGCTAAGCCTGTTCATAGCTGGTAAGATACAGCCGAGATTGTTGTGATGTTTATAGTTGGTAAGATGTTTATAGCTGGTAAGATACAATAGAGATCTTGATGTTTATAGTTAGTGAGTTATAGTAGAGATTGTTGTGATGTTTATAGTTGGTAAGATGTTTATAGAACATAAGAACATAAGAAAATAAGGAGTCTACAATAGGCCGGTTGGCCTGTGCATGGCAGCTCCTGTCGAGTTACCACTCTCTATCGTCTATGAATCTATCTAGCCTCCTTTTAAAACTTTCCAGTGTTCCAGCACTTACTACAAAGTTGCTAAGCTTGTTCCACTCGTCCACCACCCTATTTGTGAACCAGTTTCTTCCTATCTCCCTCCTAAACCTAAACTTATCCAACTTAAATCCGTTGCTCCGAGTCCTATCCTGCTCGTATATTATAAGAACTTTATCTATATCTCCTTTATTCATTCCTTTCACCCACTTAAATACTTCTATCATATCTCCCCGCACTCTTCATCTTTCTTGGGAATGCAAGTTAAGTTTCTTTAATCTATCTTGATATGGAAGGTTTCTAAGTCCTGGAATCATTTTCGTCATTCTTTCCTGCACCGACTCCAGTGATTTGATATCCATTCTATAATAAGGGCACCAGAACTGAACAGCATGATCGAGGTGCGGCCTGACTAGCGCAAGATATAATTGCAATAAGACCTCTGTACTCTTATTACTCCTACAGCGTGTTACATCCCCTTCCTTCTCCTCCTACAGCGTGTTACATCTATCTCTTCCTCCCGCAGGCACGGCAGCACAGGTGGGTGTGAGGGGGATCTACCTGACGAAGGGCGGGGAGAGACAGCAGTACCTGAACCTGGGCCTCGGTGACCTCCACTACCAGCTGGAGTGTGACATCGAGGCTGACCCCAAGGATGTCGTCAACGTCACCTGGTCCTTTGAGAACTGGGGAGTCGTGTACGTGTGGACCCATGCAACGGGGTCTGTTACTGGTGAGAGAGAGAGAGAGAGAGAGAGAGATAAATGTGGCGGATGGTGAGACATAAATCTGTTGTTTTGATTCATATACAAGAGAGAAAGAAGAGAAGTGTGTGTGTGTGTGTTTGTGTGTGTGTGTGTGTGTGTGTGTTTGTGTGTGTGTGTGTGTTTGTGTGTGTTTGTGTGTGTGTGTGTTTAAATAAATCATACATTGATGAATCACTTTTCTCCACAAATAATCACCAGTCTCTCTCTCTCTCTCTCTCTCTCTCTCTCTCTCTCTCTCTCTCTCTCTCTCTCTCTCTCTCTCTTATACTCCTGATGGTGCCACAGTCAACTTACCCCTGAAGGAGCATGTAGAGACGCCTGGGGAAGGGAAGGAGGTTGGATCCGACATACAGTTCGTGTCCCCACAAGCTTCCATGAGAGGGGTGTACACTTGTAGCGTCTACCATAACCGTGAAGACTTGCACCTCAACCCCGTCAGTAGTCAGTACGAGCTACAGATGTATGGTGAGTATACATTGGCCATTCCATCTAGTATATTATAGAGACCACTTAGAGACCATCAGATGTATGGTGAGTATACATTGGCCATTCCATCTAGTGTATTATAGAGACCACTTAGAGACCATCTGTAGTTTAGCACCCCCTTCCTCCCTCCCCTTCGTCCTCATCTCTCTCTTGCTTTAGATTATTTTACCTGATGATTAAATACCCTCTAACATACCTTCTGGAGGGGGGGGGGAGAGGTTAAGTTGGGTTAGGTTAGGGTTATTGTCAGGTTAGGTTAGGTTAAGTTGGGTTAGGTTAGGGTTATTGTCAGGTTAGGTTAGGTTAAGTTGGGTTAGGTTAGGGTTATTGTCAGGTTAGGTTAGTGTTCGATTGGGTTGGATTAAGTTAGGTTAAGTTAAATTTGTGTCAAGTTAAGTTAGGTTAGGTTAAGATAGTGTTAGGTTAGGTTAAGTTATTGTCAAGTTAGGCTAGGGTTAAGTTAAGATAGGGTTAGGTTAAGTTATTGTTATAATGAGACAATATCTCACATGAAGAGGTAAGCTAGGAGTTTATAGTAGTAGAGTATTATAGCGAGAGGAAATGGTAGCGCGTCTCGAGGGTGTGATGTCAACACTGTATATTAACACAGGCACAGTACAAGTGTAGTATATAAAACACCAATGCGTGTTATAGCTTTATTTTACTAGTTCAATAGGGGGGATTAATGGGGGGGTTCGTACACAATTTATGATAGTGTATGGTATTCTCGTATAACCTAACCTCACAATTAGAATGGGCACTTCACTAAGTCGATCGTTGGGGAGGTTCGGGATCACCGCACTTCTACTTACTGTTACACGTTGAGTTGACAGCACTCTGTCGATTGACCCGGCTGAGACTTCGTTACACTTAGTGGCGGGCTTCTCTCGAGCGGGACTGAGGACGTAGTAGCTGGCCCTTCTTGGTTACAAGACACACTCTTGTGACGGAGGACTAGGACGTCTTATATATTGGAAGACCAGCCGTCAGGTTGAGCTGATGTGGGGGGCGGCGAAGGGTCTCCTTACATTTGCCCTCGCTAATTTTGGGTCAGGTCTAGAAATCTTCAGATGAATGCTTGCCTGTTAACATCGTTGGTGGGGCCGTCTGACATGAGAGGCTCTGGTTGATTTGTGGCCCCTTGACTTGGGCTCGAGGGTTACATTTTACCTGGCTGATGTGAGGTTAGGTCTGGGCCTTGTCTGAGATGTACTGTAGTTGTGTATATTGGGAGAGAGTCGGCAGGTGGCTTCTTACATGTTTGTTGGGGCCGTGTGACATGGGAAGGGGAGCTAGTTGATTTGTAATTCCTTGAGTAGCCGTTTTGTCAAGATAGGCTAGGGTTAGGTTAGGTTTGACTAGGGTAGCTTAGGTAAGTTTTAATGTGGTTAATCTTGAGGTAAAATAAACTGGGAAGAGGAGAGTAAGTAACAGGTGATTCAGTACAAAGATATATTAAAATCTGTTCTATACACTGTGTCTTGTTTACGTTTCAGCCATTTCCAAGGTGAGACATCACCTTGTAAACATTATATCATTCTTCATCATTCTTCACCCTACAAGACATCACCTTAACATCATCATTCTTCACCCTACAAGACATCACCTTAACATCATCATTCTTCACCCTACAAGACATCACCTTAACATCATCATTCTTCACCCTACAAGACATCACCTTATAAACATTATATCATTCTTCACCCTACAAGACATCACCTTATAAACATTATATCATTCTTCACCCTACAAGACATCACCTTATCATCATTCTTCACCCTACAAGACATCACCTTAACATCATCATTCTTCACCCTACAAGACATCACCTTAAAATCATCATTCTTCACCCTACAAGACATCACCTTAACATCATCATTCTTCACCCTACAAGACATCACCTTAACATATCATTCTTCACCCTACAAGACATCACCTTAACATCATCATTCTTCAGCTTTCTTCGAGGACGGCTACAAGATCGCAGCGTCGGTGGAGGAGTGTACCGTGTACTGGAACTTCAGCACCCCACGTATGTACCCTCGGCCGACGGTACACTGTGGCTTCTGGAACACCTCCACCGGGGTACTGGTGAAGGAGGTGCGGGGAGGTCTCGTGTTCCACCAAGACCCAAACTACCTGTGGTACGTCTACGCCCACAACACGCCCATACAGGTGAGGACACGCCTATGGATTAAGTCATCGTATTCGAGGTGTTAAGTCATCGTATCCGAGGTGTTAAGTCATCGTATTCAGTGGGTTGTCATAGTATGCAATAGGTCAAACCACAGTGCTCAACGGGTTAAGTCACAATATGCAAAGAGTTAACATGTCTTACTAAGGTGCATGTCTCCCTCACCTCCCTACAGGTAGAGGACATCCCCCGTGACACACATTTCCACTGCACCACAGAGGTCGCCATAGCTAACTACACTCGCCAGACTGACCTGACTGATACGGCCGCTTCCCACCAGGTGTATGAAAAAGGTATAATCAGGTTGACAAGTTGTGTCTCAGTTAATGTCTAGAGCTGCTGGCATAACTATCAGTCTCTCTCTCTCTCTCTCTCTCTCTCTCTCTCTCTCTCTCTCTCTCTCTCTCTAAATAGATCTACTGTATATATCTATTCGTGTGCTAATCAACTCCCAGTTTGGTCCACAGTTAATGACAGAGGCTGCCCAGTACTGCCGGTGTTGAGGCCACACATGGACGTGAGGGACGACGGCTGCCTTACCAACTGCCGGGGAGAATGTCACCCATTCGACGACCAACCTGTCCTTTGGTGAGGAGGGTCAGATTAATGGGGGGTCAAGGGGGGAGTTAGGAAGGGGGTCAAGGGGGTCAGGAAGGGTCTGGTTTTTTGGGTGACAGGAGGGGTCAGATTGGATGGGGGGGGTCAAGGGGGTTAGGAAGGGGTCAAGGGGGTCAGGAAGGGTCTGGTTTTTTGGGTGGCAGGAGGGGTCAGCTTTTGGGCTCAGGAGTGGTGTGGTTTGTGGGGTAAGGAGGTGTCAGATTGGATGGGGTTATGGTTAGGTTATTTCCGGTTAAGTTAGGTTATGTTAAATTAGGTTTCTTTAGGTTAGTTTAAGTTAGGCTTTTTTTTAAGTTAATAAAGGTTAGGTTAAGCCTTTTTAAGTTACATTAGAAAATAACTCGGAAATATTTTAGAATTTAACAAGACAAATTATGTAAAAAATTAACCTGTGATTCTTCAACAACCTAGACCCTAAATTACCAATACTTGTTTATCTTGGTTACAGTACCGGTGTGACCCTAACTACTGGGCGTACTGGGAGGAATACAATTATGTCACATACAACTGGCGGTTGCGCTTGACGTGCGACAGCGTACGACGAACCTGGATACCTGAAGACGGTGTACCTGAGGAGGTCCACATCCCATACTGTAGTAAGTTGATGATGATAACAGTAATAATAATGATAGTTATATTATACAGTAATAATGATAATAAGAATAATGACTAATAAAAGTAATAATGATAATAAGAATAACGACTAATAAAAGTTATAATAATAATACACCTTTTCACATATTCGTTGAGACATTCTTACATAACTATTTAACAAATTTCATAACCGAATGACAGACAGAACACATATCGAATGACACTCTAAAATAACTGTTGGTTCATGCTAACGGAAGTTATTGACATAAGTTATGAAGTTGACAGACGTGAACGATAAACCGACAGTCTATTGTACATATAGTTTGAGAATGTAACAATTGGAGAATGACATACCACCAACAGTTATTTTACATATTCATTCGATATGTGTTCTGTCTGTCATTCGGTTATGAAATTTGTTAAATAGTTATGTAACAATGTCTCAACGGATATGTGAAAAGGTGTAATGAAGGTAATAATAATAGTAGTAGTAGTAGTAGTAGTAGTAGTAATAATAATGATAAATAAAATAATAGTTGTAACACTACTAATGCATTTGCTGTTGTTAGTGGTGGTGGTAGTTGTGATAATGAATGAGTTGTAGGTAGTGATGTTATGAAAACCTTGTGTCACAACACACCGTACTAATGATGATTTAGGTACCTGAAGATTAGGCACCCAAGCTTATTTCACCTGATGATTCAACACACTAACTCTACCTAAAGGTGGGTTAGGTTAGGTTATGGTATTTCTGGTTAGATTAAGTTATGTTATGTTGGGTTATTTTAGGTTAGGTTAGGTTATCTTAAGTTAGGTTATTTTAGGCTAGATTAGGTTATTTTAAGTTAGGTTACTTTATTCTACGTTGGTTTAGATTATATTATGTTAGGTTTCTGTTACAGTAATTAATCATGTAGTGAAATAAGCTGGGGTGCCTAATCTTCATGTGATCTAAAGTCCCCCTCCCCCCTTCACCTAGGACCGCGGTAAATTAATAGGTGTTGAATTATCTGACCCTTACCACCCACAGTATACAACACGGCAATTGACGTCTCCAGTAGTTGGTTCTTCCACGTCTTCGCCCTGCTAGTGGTCTATGTTCATGGTAAATCAAGGCCCTGAAGAGATAGTCTCCCTAGTTAACCTAAAGGGAGAGTCCCTAGCTCATTAAAGAGATAGTCTCCCTAGTTCCTTAAAGAGATAGTCTCCCTAGTTCCTTAAAGAGATAGTCTCCCTAGTTCCTTAAAGAGATAGTCTCCCTAGTTCCTTAAAGAGATAGTCTCCCTAGTTCCTTCTTCAATGACGTCCTTAAAAGATAATCTACCTAAGTCCTTTAACATAGGTGCCCTTAAAAGAATTCTATTTTTTTAAGCACAAACGCAATAGACCAGCCTTCAGAAAGTTTATTGAGAAATATTAATACACATAAATGTTTCAAGTATAATGAAACCAAAGTATTCTTTATGATGTTTTTGAGGTAAAGTTTTTAATGGATCGGATATAATTTATAGGCATCTTGTAACAACTGTATATTCATTTTTGTGCAGTGAATAACATGTACTGTATATAGGCTATATGTGGGGTGTCGTAGCCTAGCCGTAATAAAAGCCAACCTAGATTTAGTTATACTGTATACTACTATCGAGTATCGTTGTAGCTGCAGTATCGTAAATATTGTAAAGTTAATGTAGATAATGCAGAAATGTATTTCAATTTAATACACTACTGTAATTAGATATTTAAGTAAATTGTATTATACTCGTAGGTTCTGAAATGTTTTCCTAGTACTGTACCGCAAAGTTTGAAAAAAGATGACTAGCATCCTTTTTATTTTATTTCGGCCTTTGTTTATATAATTTCTGGTATACTTTTAAGACTACTATTTTGTTTCATTGTTTATCTGTGTGTGTGTGGCTTTTATTCCCTCGTCAAACTGTAAGACTCCCAAAAGCCTTTAAATGCTCATGTGCTGTGTTAAAGAGGTGACGGAGGTCTTGTGTAGTGGTGTAAGGTAAGATACGCTCTGCGCTTGTATTCAGGAAAACAACAATAATATAAGTGTAGTTTCTTTCTCCACACACACACACACAAACACTTAAAGATTAGGCACCCCAGATTATTTCACCTGAATATGAAACACTTTAGTGCTAACATAACCTAACTTTTTTCTTCTTTTTTTTTACGGGGATTAGCCCACCCAGGCACAGGTCACTGACCCACATCAGGGCCTGGGGGGCGAAAATATGATAATGATATTGATAATAATAATAATAACTATTACTATTATTATTATAATAATTAAAAAAATAATAACAAAATACCTGTACTAAAAATAAAATATACTAAAAATAATAATAACCATAAATAAATATAAAAATGAGAAAAATAAATCAAGAATGAGAAACGATATACTATATGTATGTTGTGTTGTCAAAGTAAGAGAAACAATTGAGACCCTGCAATTGTATGTAAATGAGGCAGAAAGTCAGATGAGCGACCTGGGACTTGGTCACATATGGCAGCAGGGTCTACCATTAGACAACACATTATGCTTCCAATATCTTCCCAGGCGGTAGTACCTCCCTGTTTGGTAGCTATTAAGCTTAGCTTAACTTAATCTAACCCTACTGGTAGTATTAGGTAATTGAAACATCCAGTGAAATAATTTGTGGGGTGCTAATCTTCATGTACGCTGAGTAAGAATATATATTTTTTTTTTCAAAGTTGCTAGTTCAGTTGACAAAGTTGGGTACAAAGGTCAGAACTTATTTTCCGAAGTTTCCATATTTCTCGCAAGTCACTGATCATAACACGAACAGGTATAAGGTTAAAATAAAATCAGTTGAGCATATTTATGTATTTTTTAATAAATATGTACAGTAAATAGTTTGTGTAAGAAACTACATTCCACAACACGAAGATATTTGCACTTTTCGACACATAATTTGAACAAACAGTAGAAAACCTTTCGCACAGTCCCTTTACTTACAGCTAACAACAGATATAATGTTCTTTTTAATATATTTTTGTCCGTGATTACTTAGTTAAGAGTATTATACAGCACAAAGCACCATGATAACTTAATATTATACAGAGAAATAGAGCCACATCAAACCGCTATACATATTTTTAAAAGCAAATCTGTTTTAACTGGAGAAAAGAAAACCCAACCCAATTGATAACTTTGTTGTCCGCTTAACGTAACTAAAGCAAGCCAATTAAATACCTTCTTTCTCTCCAGTTAGGGGAAACATTACGACTAAAAAGAAAACAAATATCAATGAAAACACTTGAAGGGAAAACATTACTTGTAGCAGAAACTATCGCTTGTGGGTTTCATTCGTCAGGGAAATGTCAATCGTAGTCTTCATTCGTAGGAGATGTCAGTATGGAAGCCGTCGCCATTGTCGTAGAACGTTACCACCTGAACAGGAAATATAAATAATTTACTTGGTTTAAAGAAAATCTATTAGATTAAGATATACATATTAATCTACACGAATTAAAATGCCCTTCTACATAAAAAGTCACACCGTTCACTTAATATCTCAGGGTTCTGTTCTTTATATGATATTACTTACGTTTGTTTAATAATATTGTACAGTACATTAATTCATCCATACTTTATATATGGGATTTATATATGTGGGATTTCAGACACCCATTGTAGAGTATCTCAAGGAAAACTTAAACAAGAACGGTGGAAATTTTGACCAATGTGTTAAAAATTAAGCAGACAACATTTCCCGGTAAGTTTTATGTGCAAGTTTCCGAGGCAGAGAATGTACCAGATATCGTATTTTACTTCCTGCAAACTCTGTAATAATCCCTCACATAGTATATTTAAACACTATTTGACTCTTTCAGTGAACATAATGGTTTAGGTGTAGTGTCGCTGTGAAGGTCTGGTGTACACTATCCAGGCCTTAGTGTACCATTATTGCTTTCTCGTCCTGATATTTTTTGTTACTTGTATTAGTTAAAGATATTCGTTGTAACTTATGCATGGCAAACTTCTCAGAATGTTGACTGACACTACACTAAGTTCAAACTAAAAAAAAAATTTACTGTTCGTTATCTCGATACGTAAGTTATTGTTTATTCATTTTGTATCTCCCTCATTTTTCAACCAATGTTTATTAGCAACGAGTTCGCGAATGTTCTAAGTCAAAATATGGGGCGCAAAAGTTATTGTTTTTCAAGAATTTATTTCTCGGCGATAAATAAAGATACGCAAAAAACTAAGAGTGGAGACTTGAATTATCATTAGATCACACAGTTAAAATATAAAAGAATTTGGATTAAAATCTTAGGACTGGATACATTTTTTGGGTAACAAGACTAACATAAGTAACCGAGAACACTTCTTAGTCTGCTCAAGATGAAGCCTTTGGGAAGAATTCTTTATCTGTAACCCAGCCGGATCCTCTGTATGGAACATTTACCTATTGCCTAACCTGAGAAGTGAATGGTATGGGTTTTGGACATATATATATGATTATTTTTCTCTCGGTTCTGAGACACACATACTCAGTTTATTTCTCAAGACTCTGGAAATGAGTTGAGAAGAGACCAACCTGAACACGTCCGTCAGGAAGGGTGACCCGATACTGGCCGTTCGTGCTCTGGCCGTCACTGTTCTCTCTATGTGTGAAGAGGTTGCCAGACGCGCTGTCTTCCACGCCCCATGAAAAATCGTATGGCATTCCTTCCATAGGCTGTTTGGGATAAATTAATTAATTAGTTAGGGATAAAGGTTTTTACCAGGAAGCACCACATCAAAACAACAAGAATGTGGTAACTGGGAGAAGTTTAAGATGCAAATTACGATTTTTTAGAAAATTAGTGTGGCCAGCACTGCACCCTACCCTTTCTCACGTTCCTAACCTGAGTGTACAATATACAATTGGATCGACTGGGGGCGCCTTAGTCAGTGGCCAATCACGGGCCTAGAGGGCAAAGACCCCAGAACTTGTGACCGATGGGTTGGACTTAGGAGGCAAGTGCTGTATCCAGTCGGCTGCCGCCGTTTGGGAATCCAACAGAGTCCTGTGCTTCACTCCAAACTGACCACTGGCTGATCCGCCAGATTACAACTGTTTATCGTTAGGCACTGTATTGTCATTTGCATAAAAAATGAAAGTAAGTGATTAATATCTAATTATAAGCTGAAAGCAGTACATGGTGTACCGTTTGACTTTAGAAATGAGAAACTTCTTTAATAAAGGATTTTTCCTTAAAGCCTGATGACCTTGAATCATGTACACAAATATAGTACAGGTGAATTAAACGGTAAAGTAATTTTTAACTCACCTGAGCGACAGAGAGGACTGGGGTGTTGGCATCAGCAGATGCTTCATAAAACAACGACTGCGCCTTTACGGGTTCTGATTGAACTTCGTCGATCAAGAACATCGCTTTTCCTCGCCCCTTAGGTGTTTCATACAGACCAGAAGGAACTTCAGGAACTCCATACAAAGTGGAAGGTTGGGCGGGGATTGGAGCTGCTTGGGATGGGCCTTCGATAATGCCGGGAGCACCACCAGGGAAGATAATTGGCATGTTGTGACTCGGTTGGAAGATGGTTGGCGTCTCAGGACCTGGAATTAGAGGAACTTCATACAGACCCGAAGGCGCAGCTGGGACGGGAAACGACAGTCCCTCACTCCCCTTTGAAAGTTCTATCGGGTGCGAAAAGGAGCCATCTGGAGTGTCAACTATTGAAGAAGGTTGTACTGGGACTGCATGAATTTGTTCGACGGATGTATCAAACACACTTGAGGGTTCTGGTGGACCTGATATTATACCCGAAGGAGTCCCGAGTGATGGGGAAGGTTGATCAGGAGATGACACAGCTGCACTTGGTGTTTCATACAGACCAGATGGCACATCAGGGGCTCTATCTACCTCACCTGAAGATCCAAATTCTACAGCTGGCTGATGTGGTTCACTGGGCCCCTGGAACGAGCCTGTTGGTACAATAGGGCTTGAAGCTGCCTGATCAGGAGATCCAAATTCTACAGCTGGCTGATGTGGTTCACTGGGCCCCTGGAACGAGCCTGTCGGTACAATAGGGCTTGAAGCTGCCTGATCAGGAGATCCAAATTCTACAGCTGGCTGATGTGGTTCACTGGGCCCCTGGAACGAGCCTGTCGGTACAATAGGGCTTGAAGCTGCCTGATCAGGAGATCCAAATTCTACAGCTGGCTGATGTGGTTCACTGGGCCCCTGAACAGTCTGTCGGCAGGCCAATAGGGCTTGAAGCTGCCTGATCAGGAGATCCAAATTCTACAGCTGGCTGATGTGGTTCACTGGGCCCCTGAACCCAGAGCCTGTTGGTACAATGGGGGCTTGAAGCTGCCTGATCAGAGATCCAAATTCTACAGCTGGCTGATGTGGTTCACTGGGCCCCTGGAACGAGCCTGTCGGTACAATAGGCTTGAAGCTGCCTGATCAGGAGATCCAAATTCCCACAGCTGGCTGATGTGGTTCACTGGGCCCCTGAACGAGCCCTTTCCTGTCGGTACAATAGGGCTTGAAGCTGCCTGATCAGGAGATCCAAATTCTACAGCTGGCTGATGTGGTTCACTGGGCCCCTGGAACGAGCCTGTCGGTACAATAGGGCTTGAAGCTGCCTGATCAGGAGATCCAAATTCTACAGCTGGCTGATGTGGTTCACTGGGCCCCTGGAACGAGCCTGTCGGTACAATAGGGCTTGAAGCTGCCTGATCAGGAGATCCAAATTCTACAGCTGGCTGATGTGGTTTGCTGGGCCCCTGGAACGAGCCTGTCGGTACAATAGGGCTTGAAGCACTGGGTGTTTCATATAGTCCTGAAGGTATAATTGGGACTGGTACTGCGTGATCTAAAGTCCCGTGTTCTACAGAAGACTGACCTTGGTCGCTGGATGTTGCAAACACGTCTAAGGGCCCAGCAGGACCTGACACCACCACAGGTGAAGCTTCATGTTCCACAGAAGACTGAACGAGTTCACTCTGTGTTTGCAGGAAACTCGGGGGTAAAATGGGACCTGGACCTCCCTGTTCTGCAGAAGATGGATGTGTTATACCGGGAGTCTCGACCAAAGAAGCCGGTTGAACGAGACCTGAAATTGGTTCATCTGGAGTTATATATTCTGAAGAAAAGGTTTGTACTGATCCGCTCGGAGACCCGACCTGGTGTGTGGGTCCGGCGAGGAGAGGTGGCGTCTGATGGTGAGTTGTAGAGGTGGCTGGAGTATCACCAGGACCTGGGAATTGTCCAAGGGGAGTCTCGTACAGGCCAGAGGGCACATCAGGAACTTGAACTAAATCAGATGGAGATCCAAAGGAGGGAGGATGATGGTCAGAACCTTGAAGAGAATCACCGGGAGTTTCGTGGATACTTGGAGGTTGTTGGATAGCGCCTGGACCTGCTTCATGGGAAGCCCCGAATTCAGCTGAAGCTCCTGCGGGAGGCTGGAATGGTTTAAGCGGTGTTCCATAGAGTCCTGAAGGTTGGGCAGGCACTGACAGCGAGAGATCCGATCCCTGATTGATGTCCGGGACGCTCTGGGTGGCCAGGGGGAGCTTGGCCGCCCACCCAGCAGACACGGCCAGAGCCAGAAACCGTAGCAGCTGGAACACCTGGAATAAATAATAAAAGTCTTTAGATTATTGCGACTTAATGAACGTGGTCAGCTATCGTCTGCGGGAATCATAATCAGTCGTTTCCGTCTGTATGTGACGTCTGAAAGACGCTGTCGCTGCCCCTCCCGCACTAGATGTAGCCCTCCACATGTGCAACATCTGTGAACGACTCTGCCGGTCCCGTATCGTCCTCTTTAGTCACCTCAGAACTCACCTACCTAGGTGACATACTTAATAACAAATATCATTGCATCATAGTTGGATAATCGTCACACTCGATTCCGAGTGACAGTAAAGTAGTAGTGCATATGTGTGTATGTATGTATGTATGTAAGTAAGCATGTATGTATGGATGTATGTAAGCATATATGTATGCATGCATGTATGTATGTACACCCCAGGAAGTCCCAGAATGAGAAAGATGTTCAATTCTGGCAAGACCATTCCTCTCAGGGGTACCAAAGGTCAGGGAGGATTATAAACAACACTGACCTTACATGACCCTGTATGACGCACTGACCTTAGGTGCGGATAATTAGATGACAGAGTGGTGTTCATGGTCTTGTATGAGAGAGAGAGTCACCTGAAGATTAGCCCCACTCATTTCACCTTAAGTTTCATCACCGCAACACTGCCTAGGTTAGATTAGATTATTGTTAGGGTGTTTAATCTTAAGGTGAAATATACAGGTAATCCTCCTCGCTACCTTAACCTAACCTACCTAGACTCATACGAAAAAAAATGAACTAAATGAACTAAAGTCACTCTAGTTTACTAATGTCTCTGAACGTATTGTTTTGATGGCGAATTTTAATCGCTAATAAATTTTCCCAGATTGCAATATTTTTCACGGCGTAATTCACAACACACAGACAGTATACAAATAAGATTCCTCGGTGATGCAGGTAGTAATAGACAGTCACGTACCTTCATCCTACGGGCTTGCAGCGTAGACACCGCCAACACAACTGCTGCTCGCCTCTTATATACACGGCGCACCACTATGACGTCCCGGGGATTTGTGACGTCACTCCCGCCCCAACACTATGACGTTTACGGATTATGACGTCATATATGCCTCTTTTTTTTTTTTTTATAACACCCCCGTTTACCTGCCAATGGCGCCACTCGTTTCGCCCTTGATGCGACCCGGCCTTTACCAGGATAAAGCCGGGTGCGACTGTGGAACTTCCCAGGTGAACTATTAACTTAGGAATCTCTCTCTCTCTCTCTCTCTCTCACATTGGTACGGTTTAGGTTTTATTTTATTAAATTTTAGTGAGAATTCATTAAAATATAAAGCTTATCAAATCAAACTTACCTCTAACATTGACCACACGACGGCATTAACTCCACGACGACGTAACTTTAACGATGACTAACATTGACCCCGACGACGTAACATTGACCACACGACGACGTAACATTAACCCCGACGACGGAACGTAACCCCGACGACGTAACGATTGACGACGTAACGTGGCCCGACGACGTAACATTAACCCCGACGACGTAACATTACCCACGACGACGTAACATTACCCACGACGACGTAACATGCTTACGACGACATTAACGACGTAACATTAACCCCACGACGACGTAACATTGACGACCGTAACATTAACCCCGACGGCCTTAACTGACCACGACGACGTAACATTAACCCCGACGACGTAACGTGCTTGACGACGTAACATTAACCCGACGACGTAACTTTAACCACGACGACGTAACTGCTTAACTTTGACTGACGACGTAACGGCCACGACGACGTAACCCGACAAGTAACATGCTTTGACGACGTAACATTAACGACGACGTAACATTAACTGACGACGTAACATTAACCGACAACGTAACATTAACCCGACGACGTAACTTTGTCACTTTGACGATCACTTAATATCGTAACATTAACCACTTGGTATTTTTTTACCTAAACTGTTAAGTCGTCCACCTAATTGTTTTTATATATGTCTATTTGAGAGGTTTTAACGTAAGTTTTGGGTGCGTTTGGATAGAGAAGTGTGTGTGTCACTGGGAGAGAGGAAGAGTGTGTTGTAAGGTTGCGTTTGGATAGAGAGAGAGGTGTGTGTGTAACTGGGAGAGGGAAAGGTGTGTTGTAAGGTTGCATTTGGATAGAGAGAAAGAGAGAGTGTGTGTGTAACTGGGAGAGAGAAGAGTGTGTTGTAAGGTTGCGTTTGGATAGAATAGAGAGAGAGTGTGTAACTAGAGAGAAGAGTGTGTTGTAAGGTTGCGTTTGGATAGAGAAAGAGGTGTGTAACTGGGCGAGAGGAAGAGTGTGTTGTAAGGTTGCGTTTGGATAGAGAGAGAGAGAGAGAGTGTGTGTGTAACTGGGAGAGAGGAAAGAGTGTGTTGTAAAGGTTGCGTTTGGATAGAGAGAGAGAGTGTGTGTGTAACTGGAAGAAAGGGAGAGTGAGAGAGTGTCTGATAAGGTTGTGTGGGAAAGGTTGTATAACGGTAGAAGAGAGAGGAGGAGGATATGTAACAGTGTGGAAAAGAGAGAGAGTTAAGGCCATATGAGAGAGAATATTTAATATATCTATAAATAACTCACTGAACCTTCATTACAGTAGGCTACCTGTATCAGTACTATTATCTTACCTGTATCATACCTTATTACCTGTACCTGTATCATACCTGTATCACTGTATCAGTACCTGTATTACCTGTATCAGTACCTGTATGCTGTATCAGTACCGTCAGTACCTGTATCAGCTGTATCAGTACCTGTATCAGTACCTGTATCACCTGTATCAGTACCTGTATCCTGTATCAGTACCTGCATACCTGTACCTGTATCAGTACCTGTATCCTGTATCAGTACCTGTATTACCTGTACCTGCATCAGTACCTGTATTACCTGTACTGTATCAGTACCTGTATTACCTGTATCAGTACCTGTATCAGCTGTATCAGTACCTGTATCAGTACCTGTATCAGCTGTATCAGTACTGTATCAGTACCTGTATTACCTGTACATAGCATCAGTACCTATATTACCTGTATCAGTACTGTATCAGCTATCAGTACCTGTATTACCTGTATCAGTACCTGTATCTACCTGTATCAGTACATGTATTACTGTATCAGTACCTGTATTACCTGTATCTACCTGTATCAGTACCTGTATCAGTACATGTATTACCTGTATCAATGCATATTACCTGTATCTACCTGTATTACCTGTACTATCAGTACCTATATTACCTGTATCAGTACCTGTATCAGCTGTATCAGTACCTGTATCAGTACCCCATATCACTGTATCAGTACCTGTATTACCTGTATCAGTACCTGTATTACTGTACTATCAGTACCTGTACTGTATCAGTACCTGTATCTACCTGTATCAGTACCTGTATTACCTGTATCTACCTGTATCAGTACCTGTATTACCTGTATCAGCACCTGTATCATTACCTGTATCAGTACCTGTATTACCTGTATCAGTACCTGTATTACCTGTATCTACTATATATCATACCTGTATTACCCGTATCTACCTGTATATCTGTACCTGTATCAGTACATGTATTACCCCTGTCAGTACCTTATTACCTGTATCTACCTGTATCAGTACCTGTATCAGTACATATTACCTGTATCAGTACATGTATTACCTGTATCAGTACATGTACCTGTATCAGTACCCTGTCAACGTACCACCTGTATCAGTACCTGTACACAGTATACCTGTATCAGTACCTGTATTACCAACCTGTATCAGTACATGATTACCTGTATCAGTACCTGTATCCTGATCTACCTGTATCAGCTTCCGTATCAGTACATGTATTACCTGTATCAGTACCGCCTGTATCATACCAGTTACCTGTATCAGTACCCTGATTCAGCTGTATCAGTACCTGTATCATCTGTATTACCTGTACCTGTATCAGTACCTGTATCCAGCTCAGTACCAGCTCTAGTACCTGTATCAGTACCTGTAATACCTACGTATCAGTACCTGTATCCTGTATCAGTACCTGTATTACCTGAACCTGCATCAGTACCTATATTCACCTGATAGTACCTGTATCAGCTGTATCAGTACCTGTATCAGTACCTGTATCAGCCACTACAACTCAATACTGCGCACCTATATTACCTGTATCAGTAACCTGTATTACCTGTATCAGTACCTGTATTACCCGTATCAGTACCTGTACCTGTACCTGTATCAGCACCATATTACTCTGTATCATACCGTATTACCTGTATCAGTACCTGTATTACCGACTGTATCAGTACCTATATTACCTGTATCAGCACCAATTCGTATCAGCTGTACTAGCACTCGTATCAGTACCTGTATTACCTGACGTATCAGTACCTATATACCTGTATCAGTACCTGTATCAGCTGTATCAGTACCTGTATCAGTACCTGTATCAGCGTACCAGTACCGTATCAGCACCTGTATTACCGTACCCGTATCGTTCATCTGTATCAGTACCTGTATTACCTGTATCAGCACCACATCTGTATTACCTGTATTACCCGTACCTGCATTGTCCAATACCGTATCAGTACCTGTATTACCTGTATCAGTACCTGTATACCTGTATCTACCTGTATTACCTGTATCAGTACCTGTATTACCTGTATCAGTACCTGTATCAGCTGTATCAGTACCTGTATTACCTGTATCCTGTATCAATACCTGTAACATCTGTACCCATTTTTATTACCAATGGGTGATCCGGCCTTGACTGAACGAGTTCAATCTTATACTCGTGACCAAAACACACACACACACACACACACACACACACACACACACACACACTCAATCACACACACACACACACCAATCACACACACACAATCAATCCACTTGGCAAATGACACAGCGAAATGGTTGATTAAAAGAGAGGGGGAAGGAAGGAGGGGAGAAGATAGGGAGAGGGAGAGTAGTGTAGAGAGAAGGGGGAGGAGAGACGGTAGGGGGGAAGGGGGGGAGGGAGAGAGGAGGAGGGAGGATAGAGGGTGGGGGAGGGGAGGGAGGGAGAGAAGGTAGGGAGAGAAGGTAGTAGGTGAGAGAAGGTAGGGAGAGGATAGAAGGTAAGAGGGAGGGAGGGAGAGAAGGTAGAGAGGGAGGAGAGAGTGGAGAGAAGGTAGGGGGAGAGAAGGTAGGGGAGAGTAGGGGGAGGGAGACGGTAGAGAAAGGAGAGTAGGGGAGGGAGAGAAGGTAGGGAGAGGGAGGGAGAGGTAGGGGGAGGAGAGAAGGTAGGGGAGAGTAGGGTGCAGGGGAGAGAGTGGTGAGAGAGGAGGATGAGTATAAGGAGGGATCGCTAAGTATCAATTACACCTCTCTCAGTCACACCTTTACACTATTACAGCTGGAACGCAATTACGATATGAGCCCAACACACCCTATTTCTCTCAATTATCTCGCACTTGGCAACCTTCTTTCTAGTCCTTTCCACCTCCTACTCCCCACCCACCTCCACCTCCTCCTACCCCTCCTCCCACCCCCTCCTCCCTACCCCCTCCATCCCACCCCTCCTCCCTACCCCCACCCGTCCTCCCTACCCCTTCTACCCTCCACCCCACCCCCTCCCACCCTTCCCCACCCCTCCACCATCCCTCCCACCCCTTCCCCACCTCCATCCCCCCTCCCTCCTACCCCACCCCTCCTCCCTACCCCTTCTACCCCCCTCCACCACCCTCCCACCCCTTCCCCACCCCTCCATCCCACCTCCCCCCACCCTCCATCCCACTCCTCCCTCCCACCACCTTCCCTACTGCCCACTATTGGACAGGTGATTTTTGGGTACTATGACTTTTCCTTGAGTACGATAATTCTCCAAGTACATTAACTTACACCAAGAATATGATGACCCATTCCTTGAGTGCTACGACTTATCACTTGAGTACGACAACTTATCCCTTGAAAGTAATTCGTTATCTCTCAAGAGTACGATAGTTTACCCCACAAGTAAGGTGATTAACCCCTCAGTATAATT